GTAGAATCCATAAGCCGGGATATATCTATACGCTCTTGGAGGCTGAGGAAAGTCATAATCAATATCTATGTCGCAGGGGTTGCCTGCCACTCAGTTAGGTTTAGAAAACAAGCTCAGCGGGGTTTCTCACTTGGGTCATAACCATCATAGGCACATCTACCTAGTGATTGAGAACTATATCTAGACTCTGGTACTAATGATAATGGCTGATCAAGCTCGCTACTAACATCGCTGGCCTCAGGATTGTCTCTTTTGCTGGTGACGCTCTTCAAGGAGAACAAGGAGTCCACTGCTCCTATATTCAAAAAACTACCAGAGAAGATAATATCACTGGAGTACTGATTTAGGCATACCTGCGCAATGGTCTTGATATCCTCACAACAAACTGAAATATAAGTTCCATGGGCACAGTCCTTCTTGTCTCCAGCTGGATGTGTATTCTAAGTGAGATAGATGGTACCCTCAGGGCAGCGCCGATTGCAAATCTTGCTCTAAACACCGATATTAGCTATATACATATGATGCACTTAGAATTGTCGCGAACCCCATCTGGCCGTCTATTCCATGCGCAATTGCGCCCGACAGCCTTGTTGCTTAGACACAACAACCTGTTAAGTGACCCATGGCAACCCTCAACAGCCTTGAAATCATCCATGTTGTACACCTTTCCATGCCCTACTAGCAGCTTGTGGTACCCTAAAAGGATATGGCAAATTTAGCACTATAGGTAAATCCAGAAGGTGTGAATAGAGATACTTACTACCAGGGCAGCCCTAGACTTTTTACTCCTTCTCTGTCATGCAGGGAGTCCAGAACGCCAACTTTGCAGCCACTGCCTACTAAGTATCAGCTGCCTTCTTTGCAATACTAAAACCATTTATATTGGTCATATTCCCCCCTGAGTTGAGATACTGTGCTGACTGGGAGTCTATATTATCTAGATCTAAAGCCTAGACTATAGTTCCGCCCAGACCGAGCTTGTTTGCGAAATCCATCTTTATCTTGAGTATGTCAGCATCATCATATAAGACCCATTGGTTATTGTCCTAAGTGATGTACTTCACACCAGCAGCCTTATCCATGACTAGTGTAAGGTTGTATACTTATATAACTCTGTTAATCTCTGCATTAGAGAGAATGCCAGCCTAACCTATGCACTTACCAGGATTCGCTCCAGAGGCAAAGGGACAGCTGGGAGTATTGCACGATGGATCTAACAAAGTAAATAATCGGCTATAGAACCCAAGACCAAGCACAACCTTCTTCAAGGGAATGTTATTCCTCCATAGAAGATTAAGGCCTTATGATATCTCTGTCAGGTTTATATGAGGATTTACAACCTGCTTAGTATATGCATTGTTGCCATCCTAGGTTCTATATATATCATAGCTTATAAAGTTGAACCAATCAACGTACAGTTCAAGATTGACCACATCAAATCCTTTAAGATACCAGTAGCTGCTTAGGAGGGTCAAAGAAAGTCTGAGCTGTCCAGCAGCTGACTTGAGCTCTTTCATAAATATAATATAGTTGACAAAGTCTTCCGCTCGCCCACCGCGGTCATCAGCAACGGGGTATTCCCAGTCAATATCAATGCCATCAAATGCTTGGGTCTTGCAAAACTGKACCACAGACTTAATGAATATAGCCCGGTTTTCCGCGGTTGACACCATGTTGGAGAAGACCTTGCCTCCGGCATCCCAACCTCCAATAGCGATGAAAATCTTGAGACTGGGATTTTGCAGCTTGAGGTTGGCGACTCAAGGATACAGCTGATCATCGTATGAGTTCATCTTGGTGAGTTGAAAAGTCTCAGGATGGATCAATCCAAAAGCAAAGTTTATATGAGTCCAGAGATTGGCATTGATATCTTCTGGGGCGACTGAGTCGCATTGGCGCCCATACAACCATGCTTCATAGTAGCTGATTGTCCTAGAATGAGCGCTGGTTCCTGTCCCAGATGGCCGTTTGATGTTGCCACAGCTATTTTGACAGCCATCTCCGCAAAACTCTGCTGTTGTTCTACAGAATCTAAATGATGAACAACAGACATTGAGGGGGCATTTCTCGTGCCCTGTTGCTGCATATTATCCACACTCTGCTTTTGCATCGCAGGTGCTTGTGTAGTTCCTGATTCCACAAAACTCAGGGCCAAAACTACAGCTTCCATATTTTGAATAATATCTAATTTTGCAAGGGTTTGTTGCTGAGCAGATAGTATCCTGCTGGCACTGAACCAGTGCTGGATGTATTAACAACAGCAGAGAAATGACCACAAGCAATTGAAGAATACTTAACCTATGAAACTTATTGAGGCCCATCATTTTTGCAATGCGTTAGGAAACAATAATGAAAAATGCTATACTTGATGGGTTCTGCACAGGCTTGAAGTACTTCTGCTGAGCCATGACTCGGCCAGGCACAATGCCATGGAAGAGGTTCTGGTCTGCAGTGGAGAACCTGCGTGACTAGTGCTTAGTACAGCACCACGGAAATTAGATAGATACCACTAATCTTGATAGTAATACATCGTAATACTGAAGACCAGCTAGGTAATATTATATGATGATATGAGGTTTAGACCGAGGCTGGACTGTAGTTAGTGTGACCCAGTGACCCTAAAAAAAGAGTGAGATTTAAGATGCATCATCTCCGACCTCCTTCAGTCTTCCAGTTTCTGGATATGATTGTCAAGGTTGAAGATCCGAGTGGGAGTACTCCGTACGACCCGAGCATCCGCCGATTATGGAGCCTCGGAGGAGCGGAAGGAGGAGGAAGGGATAGACGATAGTACAGTGGGGGTTCAAAAGTATTTGATCCCCCTTTGGTGATACTAGCGGGCTTCAGGGGATCAAATACTTTTGAACCCCCACTGTAGGCCCACACGGAGCAAATAGGGTGGCTCACATACCTGATGTACGGTCGGCTCGACTCATGAGGCACGAGAGGCGGAAAATGGTGCTGAGAGTTGGATTGTTAACAATGTTTCACCTATGAATATTGTGAAGACCTGGCCGGCGTCTGCCTATCAGTGTAAATAAGGCTGTGTTTCGGAGCTGTATTAATAACAGGTTGTTGGTGAGAGCGCTGGTTTGAGTTCCTCCTTCTAGTTTAGGCAAATATTCTAGTACATACTTGGTATAAGATAGAGACTTGAAATGTCCTAGGGTCTTGGAGGGCTTGGCAGTCTTAGTGTTTCACTGTCTAGGCAGAAAAGAAACAACCTATAACCCTTAAAATTAGAAACCTGCTATGGCGGATGACGAGCTAAATATTGTAAACAGCATTACCAAGCATGACTGCCTACTATTATAAATTATGACTTCTCTTGCTGCTTCTCCTGGCTTCATGTACTTAATAACTATCATAATCATACCATTGAATACAACTGCTCAATCATCAGTTTGTTTACTGTGTGTCTCATCTACTAAAGTATGTAGCAAACTAGCAAGCTTCAGTACCTAGGTAGTACCTACCTTGGTAATCATGTCTACGCAATCAGCGCATAGCCATGATTACCATATGGTATACCCTGTTGGATCCATTCCGCTAGGCGTTAAGCAGTCGGTCTAAGAACTTTAGGCAATCCCTTTGGCTCTTGCGAGTCCTGCCCTCCTTTTCATATTCCACTTGGGGTAATTGGGTAATGTCTACTTCACAAGTGGAGGCCAATACAAGTTGAAGCTGTTTGTCTTGCCTCCTCAGATAGATACAGCTTTGAATGTGTGTTAGTTTCCTTAAGTACTAATCCTAGTGTAATACATATACATGCCATTCCATCCTCATTTACTACTCTAAACTTATGAGTTACGTGATGAATAGGCTCTCATTATTCAGCGAACCATCTTCAGTTATACCGCACCTAGCTTGTCCATGGCCTGCGGAGATCGGTACCTTTTTGGGCACCGCGTATTTGGCACCATGAGCGATCATTGTGAAGCCTCAAAAAAAAGCCTTTATGATGGTGTCTCGGATTATCCCCACTATGATTTCCTAAGTCTTAGTCTACGGAGTACTCCTTAGAAGAAGGCTTTCCGGCAGTATCTATAATCCTGACTCTGGACTTAATTAATTTTGTCATGATTCCCTGCTGGTATATTATAGAGCATGAAGTAATTTTGCCAGTACTCCGTAGATGAAAGCTTATATTTCAGTGTCATTTTGGTATTGTTTGTTTGCACTGAATCCCATCATGTGATTGATGTATCTTGCCTGAGAGAAGTGCTGACACTGCTGAGTAATAACAGGAAGGCTTAAGATTTCAAGAATTAAGACCCACTTTGGACATGATATATACCTTATCCAGTATTAGTGCTAAATCGCTGATGTAGGTATTTTTAATCCAAGTTAAAGGGTAAAACTGGAGGAGATTAATTGGTTACCCAGTCTCTCGACTCTGGTGGTAGGTATCTACCACTGGTATTGGTTAACCCTGACTAGAAATGATACTAGCAATTTTATGATGAAATGGGCAGGACTGAAAATGCATATATACTGTTTTGTGAGTTATGCCGCATGGGAGCCCATCGATCCTGCTGCCTTGTTCTCTGTTTATGAGGGCTTTTCTGCCTCCTGTCGCCTGTTGGACTGCAAGAGAGCTGTTTTTCCTCCAGTGAGAATTACCCTCACGATGCTCGTTACTAAGTTAATATTGGGGCTATCTCTCGCTGTCGCAGGTAAAGCTTATGCGGCAACTCCCCTGTTCAATGGCCTTCAGTCTGCCATCTTCCTGACCACAACTTCGGCGGAATGCCTTTCAAGCTTTAACATATCCCTGCAATGCGATCCTTTGGTTTCTTGTCTGTACACGCAAACAGATTGGGTAGGGTGGAATGCAACAAACCTAACAGCGTTTGTCCTGCTAGATAAGGAAGACTGAGTGCAGCTGCTGATACTATGGCAGTCTTTGCACGCCGGAATGCTGTTAATCCTTGACCAATTTGAAAGGAATTGTGACATCGAGCTGCGCGGACTTGTCAATTCCCCTGGGCGGCTCGACAATGGATGCGGAGAAGATAGTTGACTTCTATGAGTACAAATACAATCTTATATGCCTGGCCGACGGCTCCTCCTGGTGTTTGCTTGAGCAGGATAAATGGTTTGTTGAATATCTTCTGACAGTCACTTGGCCACAATACACGGACAAGTGGTGTCCAGATTGGATAAGTCAGTCTTTTTTTTTTCCAGAGCCCTAGCTTGGCGGAAAATTCTGGTACACTGATGATGGCGCACAGATGATCCTCTTAATGGGACCAACGCTGTAGATGAAAACGGAACTGTGATTCTTCCTTATGACACTGTTCCGCCGCCTCAACCAACATTCAATTCCGGGAGGAAGGCTGGTGAGCTACAAAATATTTCCATTACATCTGATCTAACGATGAATAACTAAGTGCCTTTCTCCAGCACTTGACTACTGATATATCGGCAAACCCCCTGCTGAGGGCACGTTGAACTCTAGCTTGGGACTGGAGTATGACGAATATCCTCTTGAAATCCAGTGMTCCCCTTGTTTCCTGCAGTGATTCAAACTGGGGTTCATGTCTAGATGGGGTGAGATATATAAGTAATATACTCCTTCCATGATTTTACCCTAACCATCAGAGGATTAACCATCTCCACAAAACAGTGAAGTGAAGGCCCAGGCATGGGCAAATATCCAGAAAAACTATAGTTTTCAAGAAGATCTCTATATCTTCCCTGTCCTGGATCAATCAGGACCTCCATGAGAAAAGTAAGAGAGCCCCTAGATTACCCTCATTTTAGTGAATTGGGATCTAAGCTGAACATCTGTATCAAGTCGCCCTGAGCTACAATGGACTGGTCCTAGTAAATATGCGCGTACAGTCACTCTAGAAGCACCATGGGTGAACTGCAGTACATTCTCAGTGGAATATCAGGTAGCGACAGCTTCCCTGCGCGACCTTAATCGAGGCATCAATTGCAGGCGTATGGATAATGGAACATACTATCTTCCTGAACCCTGCGATGTTGCAAAAATTTGGGTCGATGGTGGAATCTGGGGAACAGAGCTCATCAAACCTGACGGCCCTTATTCCAATATATCATATATACAGTTCATGAGGTGGAATGCAGCTGCATTGCATGAACCAGTGTTCCCTGGAGATACTATTTGCATTGGGTATGCTCACAATCTTCTGTCCCTCTCCTTACATGATCTAGTCACATGCTAACAGAACGGTCCTTAGTCCCCCTGGAGGTGCATATGCTCCTCCTCCCGCACCTGCACCAGTGTCACCAAATGCTACCTACACCACTACAGCAGTTCCAGCATTGGGGACGCCTCCCGGAACCGTCGCTAACTGTGGCCTGTACTATGATACAGTGACCGGCGATGACTGTAATATGATTGCGATGAAATTCTCCATCACATTCAACCAACTCCGCCTGATGAATCCTCAGATCAATACAGACTGTACTAATCTATGGGCAAACACTTCCTACTGTGTAGCATTAGTCAGTGGCACCACCGTGACAACTACCGCCTCTTCCTCGGTCAGTCCAACTCCCACCCCTTCGTCAACCGGCACCTCGCCCACCAGCACGACATTGGCACCACCAGCGCCAACACAGCCTGGGGCCACTTCCTCCTGCTACGAGTGGTACGTTGCTGCGTCTGGCGATGATTGCTCTAAGATTGATAGCCAATATGGTATCACGTTTGCACAGCTGAGAGCGTGGAATCCATACTTGGACAGTACCTGCAGCAACCTCTGGGTAGATTACGCTTATTGCGTGAATGGGGTGTAAATATAAACATGTTTGAGTTCCATCAAATTCGGAAAATCAGGTCTMCTAGAGGAGAAAGAGGAAGGAGAGCCTATGGTAGATAGAGTCAATAGAAGAAATGCATTTGTCCAAGTATCTTTCATCAGCTTGGTCACAATGGAATTTCTTATAACAGGAATATTCTATATATTCCTTTACAGTTTCCAAGCTAGCCGGGCAATTGCTATGCTTCCTACGAGCTTTAACTTCGAAGTTTCTCCTACTCACTCTCGACGCAAAGTTACGACCTAGAGCCTTCACCATCTTACCATCTGGCCAGCTTACCTTCGGTGTGGGCCTGGGAGGTCTTTGAAAGAAGTCAAACTAGTGATCTCTGTAAAGTTTATACTATGGATATCTAACTGGTAAACATAATATCAACCAAGTTTGAGTTAAGCGCATCATAGACATGCTGGGAGCCTAGCTACAAGTTTATTAGCAAGGAGCTTGAGGCCTTGCAGAGGTGGCAGAATTGCCAGAAAATAAAGGCATTGAAAAAAGAGGTACTATGTCTTGCAGATATAGCAGTGAAATAAGGACATCCGCATAGGGGCATAGTAATAAGCCTAGAACTAGGGAGAATAGATAGGGTATCAGAGTGCAGTAAACTATGACAGCAACATATTTTTACGTGTATTAGGGGCGTCTATGTATCAAATCAAAGTACTTACAATTTACTGCATACTCGTAGATTATGAGAGGTGTAATGATGGGCACCTGCTAAACCAGAAGTCATGAAATTTTTACACACTATTCAGGATTTATTCAGTATGCCCCACTATGATTCCTGTATGATAAGAGTAGTATTGAACCTTAGACTCTGGTCCTCTAAGGAAGATTACCTATGAATAATTAATAAGAATAATAAGTGCATAAAAACATGCCAAGACCAGAACACAGGACCATAAACAGTATTGTATATCAGTATACTCCGTACACAAGTTTAAATACAGCATTACCAAGAGTCCACCAGGACCACCACTACGCAATACCTTCCTTGCCTGCTTTGACTCTCTCCGCTGCCTCCGACTCCCATTGCAATAACCACTTTACTGATATCATTATGGACACAATTCGTGAAAAACACAAATGTCTCATCAATGGACTCACGCACCTTTTCGCTCTATTTGTCAAAGCCCATTATATCTCCTCCACTGATGTCCTGTATCCACCTCAGGATGTTGATGTCGGACGTTTTCACAGACTCGGATTTGAACCTGAAGTGATTGATCTCGTCCAGCTCCTGCCAGTGCTTAGAGATGAAGCGATCTGGGGATATAATGAGGAAGGGGTAGAAATGATTCCTCGCGCCAAGCTGGTCAATTATTTGAAACAGCTAGAAGCAGATGTTGGAGACGACATGTTGCAGCGCTTGCGATGGGTCGACCATAGGGATAAGGATCGGCAGGGGATCTTTCCTCCGTCTATCCTTCGACTAACATTCCCTGCTTTTTATGGAGTAAATGTGCTGTATGACGTCCATAACCGTATGTTTTTTCCCTCTCTTCATTTTCTTTTTCGCTCCCGAAGCTCTAGCTGACCTCTGCACCAGAGACTATAATAGAATGGTGCCACCTGAATCAGAAGCAGTGGCAAGACTGCCCCCGCCAACCATGTGAAGTTTTCTTCTCGAAGGTCTTCGAGAAATTTAACACTCTCGAATACGTCCCATTCTTTGACCCGGATGGCGAAGCAGAAGTTCCGATACGCAAAATTATGGAAAACCCCATTCTATTCCAGAATATTTGGCCCGGCGGAGTCCGCCTTCCAACTGACCCCCAGGCTGCTATTCAGCAATATGGGGAGAATCGAGATGGCCGGGATCTCATACGTCGTAATATTAACGAATGGAGGGCTTTACAGAAGCTCTATCGCGACGCTGGCTGGGAGAGCGAATTCAACGGAGAGCTTTTCGACAATAGACGAAGGGATTTATTACGAATGATGGACGATTTCCAGGACCAATCCAGCGAATGGAGCATGATTCCACCACATAGGCGAACGCAGGATGAGCGAATCGCTGAGCGGGAGTTTCGTCAACGGCAGGACGCGTTTTGGGCTGAAAGCGCGGGAGAGTATTATGTCTGAAGTTTTGGTTTGCCTTGTGATTCCATATTCCCTTTGCTTACGCACCATGGCCATGAAGGTTTCGCTGTTTGTCTGCGTATCAAAACAATGAAAATCAGTGCTGCCTCTGATCCCAAGGTACAAGAGTGGAAGAAGAACACAGCTTTAATGAGAGACAGTGATTGATATCCTCTCTCTCATAATTAGTGAGTAGATATCAAATATGATCAAGCCTAATTGCACCCTCTGTAGATCATCGCGCTGCAGAGAATTATTCTATCATAACAAGAATCTGTATGATCACATGCAAGAAAGTGACTAAGGAAAGAGATTCAACATAAGACAAGAGATGTTCAAGTCTATGGCATCTAGGAAACACAGAGGATATCCCGCATCATCAGTATCCATAATTGTCAATCATCCCAAATATGCGATCTGACTCCTGCATGATGGTCTGTTGGATACCCATTATGAAAACCCGACTACATTGATACAGGTCATAGTCCACTTATTCCAGTCGATCATATTCGTCTGATTAATGTTCACCTCAGGAGCAGTCAAATTCTGGTTTTCCTCGTCGGATGGAATACCGCCCTGAAGTGCCATCGGGATTCGTAAATCGGCAGGGAACTAATAATTCCGATTCTGCTGACACCTCTCATTTTCAGGATCAGAAGGAACTTTTGCTTCAACTTGTGATAGTAGTACCGCAATGTCATACCTCTATTGCAATGCGTACAATGGCTCGAGAACATGCAATGGAGGAGGGAGGGAATCAACAGCACGATGAGATGAGGGACCCATTGACTCAGTCTCAGATAGGGTTGAATTGACGAGAATAACATTAATTCGGCAACGTTCTGTAACAATAGGGCGAGTATAAGTCTCATCTGCGAGAGGTCAGAAAGAGAAAACTCAAGGACACGGAGATAATTAGTCATACCTCTGGTATCATGGCCTAAATCAAGGGCAAACAGCACCAAAGTAACATAACTGAGTGTCACAGAGGGTAGTCCCGGGGTCCAAATTCTGTTCTGTCCCTGTTTACCCTTACTCTAATAAAACGCAATGAAGACTCATAAACTTGGCACACAAGCAACGAAAAGAGGTAGCATAGCAATGATTGCTTCCCATGACAGTGCCATTATGAAAGAAACAGATAATTAAATGCACGATGTGATATTGGCGGGCGAGATAGGATATCACTGGGTTTATAGAATTATCCTCTTGTTATTGCAGGTTAGTAAGGTATCGATGGCAATTATGGGAGGATATTAATCAGTGCTGGCATGTTTCTCTGCCATAGCTGTCCAGGTGGAGAATAAAGCAAAATATAACATAGGGTTTATATTAAACCGCAGTCAGCTGCAGCTTACAAGATGTAATTAGCTGGTATCATAGCTAGATATACAGACTATAAGGGGCAGAACTCGATTATTATATAAATCTCCTAGAGTTGCATAGTACGACTTTAGTAAAGTTTTCTATGTCTCAAGTAGTCCAATGTTCTTCACATTTTGATGTTAGTATATCATGTCCTTCGCTACCAGCTCTAGTGAACTGGAGCTTCAAAACTTGTAGGTCTGTCACAAGCTCGATTCTGAAGAACACGACGTCGTTTTGAAACTCAGTCGACCACGGCTTAGAGGCCAAGGTATTGCCAGCACAAATGGAGACGAGTCCTTTGTGGTCAGGTACAGTGCCATATGAGGACCACCCTCCAGACGTGTGTTTGGACTATGTGTTCGGGAATAGGAACGTGCCTATCTGGCGACCGGGTACACGGCTTTAACAAGATACCGTCTGGAGTATTTGGAGACCTTCCCGAATACGTGAACGGGAAACATCTGAGGTTAGGGTCAATACATCTTTGCCGTTTTCGACAAAGACGACGATGGGCAATTCTGTGTTGGAAAGGGCTCTGGATAGCATGGCGTGCTTTCTGACGTCGACTTGGTAGAATTTGATGGTTGTGAACTCGCCGCTCAGCTCCTCAATCTTTGAGGCGACAGCCTTGCATTTATCGTCCAACGGGGAAAGGAAAGTGACAACAACGGGTTCAGCTGAGTGCTCGACTTTCCGCTTATACTCATCGTCCCTGGAGCAGACTGCTGAATCGTAATTAACATGCCTAAGAGAAGTAGCCAACGTACGTCATGAGCTCAGCGATAGAGCCAGTAGCCATGCTGAACGGTATGGGGTGGGAAATGCGGTTGCAGTACTGTGACGATGGTTGTGGTGGAGGGGTGTTGTTGTGTGGGAAGGAGCTGGAGGGTAGCGGAATTGGCGGTCACCTGACCCGCCATCACCAAGCCCGAGCAAACCAGAAACTGACGCTGGTGCCTTAAATCACCAATGTAGTTACTAACGTAGCAACATTCTATACAGAAACAGTCGAAGAGTGCAGGTGCTGACATACTGTATCTCTGCATGATGTTGGCGTAATGAGAATGCCCGAATCTGTCAACCAGTGGCGGGTTGAACGGCTGCAGTAGATGTCTGGCTTCGCTCAGGATCTGCTGGATCATATCAGCAGCTTTCTTGGGGAGTTGATGTGTGACAAGAGTTAAATTGAGCTTTCATCAGGTTTTGTGGCTCATCGAGAGTCATTAGGAGGCGCGTGAAGTGCCTTCCCTGTGTTATTCAAGACAATTCAGAGTATTTTTTGCAGTGCGAGCGCAAAAATCTTGCATTTTCCTTTCAGGTCCTTCTTAACGACCTTTTTTTTCAGATAATCAGGAATATAGCAATGTCTAGATCGGATTATCATTTTCCGACTCAACGACCGAGCGACAGACGCTCCATCTTCAACAGCCAGGAATCAGGCATATCGCATCCAAAGCTAATCTGACAATCCAGACGGAATACATACATATGCCTCTTGAGTTGGACACCATTGACTGGACCTACAATGTCGTATCCAGCTTCCGTAGATTATTAGCTCTTTCGGTCCTCGATGCGCGATTGGGCAAACAGCTGAGCATGTGTGAACAAGGCGACAAGAAGCTGGGCTATCCGTATTTGATCGCTAGTACAGAGTAAAGTCACCCTGTAACACTAGACCTGAAGTAGCAAAACGGTAGCGGAACTTTGTTAAACAAGACTAGGTCATCTAACTCGATATGAACTGCAATACCAAGTGTACGGGCAAATACATGGTTCGATACAACAGGTCCACATTCCATTGTGTATTGAGTTATTTGCTTATAATATGGATATACTCCCGACATCCTCTGGCATTGGAGTCTAAGCTCTCAACAAACATCGCAGTGTTCCAATCTACAAAAACTATAGAGGGATTGTACCGTTGTACTGTTGTAGACATAAATAACAACCGCTTGTTATCTCAGGCGATGAGGCAGGTGAACTTGCAATTCACCTTCAGTCCACCTTCATACAACCCCAAAACCAAAAGCCTGACGTTACCTCAGCCTGTGCTTTTGGTGTAGTCTAGGCCATGTTTCTGCTGCTGCTTCTTGCTCCGAAGTCTTCTCATTCATACACCAAGCCTGATTTCTGACATGCGGAAGATGACAAGAAAATGCCTATATGAGCACAATTCCGGCGTCATCCAGCTGAATGTGGAACGCTTAGAGCTGAACATCAACAGAAAAGCGCCGTGGGCTGTTCTTACTAACAAATCCACCGACAGTGGAGAGAAGCCGGCACTTATTGATGGTCTAATCAACTGTGCTTTACACCCTACGCTGTCCAGAAATGCCGGGCTCTCCTGGATCTTAAATCGACTACGAATGAAGTGAGTGTGTTAGAATCTAGGTGTTCCGTTTGATCTGACTCTAAACACCTTTCAGGTATATTAACGGCGTGAAAAATGTATCTGCTAAAAGCCAATTTTGCATAAGTTATGCTATAATCTACTGCCATCTTTCGCACTTTTATCCAAGTGCTAGCTGCAGTAAGAACTCTTCAGAACGTGACAGATCTTGGGGTGCATACGATGCCATTAGTACCGTTTTACAAACGCATTTTTGCCATTGTAAAGATATCATGCTTGTGCTGTGGGCCGATCCAAATATAAGCTTTTCTAGGCTCCAAGCAGAGGAAGAACGCCATGCTATAATGGCTCGGCTTGAGAAAGTACTTTGCCGCGCGGACGAGCTCTATCACACTCTTGCTCAACAAGGGTGTGAATTTTCGATTTTTCCATCTCCAGCAGCATTCGAGTTGTGCCTGGACCAGGCCAAGGAAACTTGGGGGGTATTTAAAGAGGGTGACTGGGATCATAACCGGGGTGCTGAATCCCGCGTCTGGCGCAGCATTGAACCAAATACATTAAAAAATGAATTATCAAGCAGCATAAGCACAGAGGGGAAACCAGGCTATTGGATTCGAACAAGCTTCTTTGATCGGTTCGAAAGGGAGGACATGCAATTTGTTTGATATGAGAGGAGTACGGGTATGTGAGAGTTCCACTTGGACTGCAAGTGGTTATAGACTTCAAGGACCTGTCCGGTTGGAGACTTCTCACTGACTGCGATTGCAAGAAAAGGATGTCTGAATTCTGCAACCAGAGACCTGTTCCAATCTATCGAAATCTACGGTCTAAATTTAGACATGGTTATGTGTTTCCTGATGTTAGAGGCCGAAACGAGTCCGCCACCTGTCGGGAGTGTGAAGAAAATAAAGTTATTCGGGATCTTAATCCTCGTCATCTGAACAACAAAGAAAGGAAAGTCATTCGTCATTTTCTACTTGTTAGATCTGGATTGATCTATTAGGTTCCGATCCTTGACAATTGTGGGCGATCATACGATCCATCAACGACTAAGTGGCGCTCGGAGAACATACAACAATGGCTTGGCAATCCGCCCCGCTGTAGATCTCGATCAATCATCTATACGGATTACAAACTACAATTCAATCCAGGTCTCGGACTCCCACTCGAGTGGTAACTAGGACATTAAACTCTCTGTCATACATGGCATTCGAAACGATCATAGTCATCTGACCAAGGTCGAGATTTTAAAGAAAAGTCTATATATCAGCCTTGGACACTACGACGCTCCCATTTCGTCTCTACTGCGAATATCACTTACACCAAGCCACACAAACATTCTCCATCATGCCATCTGGCTCTTGTCTCTGTAAAGCACTCCAGTACGAATATAGCGGCGAACCTGTCTCCAAGGTAAGCCCAACCCAGACCCTGCAGCCGCACCACAAGTCCATACTAACATGACTACAGGCAGTCTGCCACTGTCTCACCTGCCGGAAATTCAGCAGTGCAAGCTCCGTCAATCTTCTAGTCCCTCAGGATCACTTCCACCTTGTGAAAGGGACTCCAAAGGGATACCATCAAACCCATGAGAGCGGCATGCACATGACCCTCCACTTTTGTGGAAACTGTGGCTCTCTGCTGTACAAGACGGCCGATCGGAAGGAGTTTGAGGGTGGTGTGATTGTTCTAGCTGGGACGCTGGATGATCCTCGCGCTCTTGATGATGCCAAACCCGAGGCGGAATTCTTTGTCAAGCATCGAGCTTCGTGGTGGCCGGCTCTGGCTGATGCGAAGCAGTTGCAGGAGTTTGACTGAATTGTATCTAGTGCATGATCATCTTGAGTCCTTTTGAAAAAGTCGGTTGAAAAGCTTGGACGGATAATTGATAATAATCTGATTGCTTCTCTGACTTGAATTGTATAGGATAGAATTGAAGACGTGCGTAGCCTGTGTAGAATCCTCGTCTATATATGAGAACTTTTGACTTGGGACGGATCTTTCAGAAATAATACTAATGAGGCAGCTACCGATACATACCTCAACGCTTGCCTATTCTAAGTCATCAGTTCAAGTGATATAGATCGACCATGATGGCATTGTCCACATGGAGAAAGAAACATATTAGAAGCAAGTGTCGCTGCATAAGGGCAGATTAGTGTAGAACACCATGGCCAACTCATAATAGCTTCCTGACAGGCTTAATGCTTTAAATGAAGCACTGACTATGCACAATAATACCTATAGTAATCTTGAAAGGGAACCGCTCCATGGCAATTCCACACACAGTGCATCACACACAAGTACTGAGTGATCTGCCTTAAGGCTGGGTGTAGATTTGCCTTTTGGCAATGAGGGAGGCTTGCTGATCATAACAACGCACAATTACAGCAAAACTAAGTGTATTTGTATCATGTTGTTCCTAAGTTGTTCCTAAAGTTAGTACTGCCGATCAGTGGATCTCTATGGCCAAGCCTCAAGCCCTTGCCGGAAAGGAATCCGGGATCAGCGCCGAGCGGGTCAGCGCGCCGGTCCGTTTCACGGCATTCCTGTCAGAGTGGAGCATGCTAGGGTTTAGCCGGTTCTACATTCTATCGGAAGATGACCAGCACGGTTAACCCCCTCAGGCCTGTCGGTGGGTCTTTAATGCTTTTAATATCCGCGGCCGGGTAGTATAGCCTCACCAAGCGCTGACAGCTTGACGCAGCATAAGCTGACCTGACTCTGCTGTAGATACATTTATACCACGAAAAGTCTACTCTTGCCCTTTTGTATCTGGGTTGCAAACTACCCTCTGACTCCGCTTTCACTCACCATGACCTCCCTAAGCCATCTCAAGGACCCATTGCCCTGCGACCAGAATACCTCGCTCCAGCCCAACAACCATCCGGGTTAAACAGCACAGCAATAGCTGGTCCGCTGGCGATTTCACCATCTCCACAGTTCCAAGCGGTGGCTCCCCGCCGCAGACCCTCTTCACCGTAGACGGCGCGACTTGGCCTCCGTCAGCCCAGCGGAGGCGCATCCAAGAGGCAACAGGCCTGCCGCTCTTCGAGATCGCGCGGAAGCGACGCGACGTGACGTGGCTTGTCCATCTACCGGGGAAGCCAAGAGAAAGACCATCCCCGGCCAGTAGCCACCATCGTTCCGCAGCGGCACATGCTCAAGGATACGTTCGACATCCACTTCTGTAATGCGGCTGGCGGGGACGATGGGCGGGAAGAGATTGTTCTGAGCGTGCGAGGTCAGGATATCTGGAAGTCGAGAGCGCATGTGTACTTTGGGGATGCGTTGGTGATGACCTCCAAGTTGAAGCATATGGTCTCGGTTTATATACCGGGGAGGAGGCCGGAGTGGGAGATTGAGGTTGCGGAGGGGATGGATCTCTCGGTAGTATGGCGGCTTTCTGTCCTTATCGCTGAGTACTTCCGACTTGGCATAGGCATCCATCATCGGGGTGCTTCTGGCTGCTATGCTGTACCAGAGCAGTACACCACCGCCACCGTCATAGTACTTTGTGGGTTGTACGGATGTTTTATTAGGTGTTGCGGTCGGGATACCTGAGAAGGCTTCTTTGATGTAGTTCGGCAGATGCATTGATGTCGAGCTTACGTGGAACGTGCAGTGCTAGTTTGCTATGAAAGGATTTGACCTGTAATAACACAAGCTACGAACAGCAATCCAGCCTGGGCACCTAATTTGTTGACTTACGTAAAAACAATTTAAAAAAGGGCAGAAAACATTCAACAGCAGAAGTATCATGCCTGGCAAAACATTCCATACCCTTGAACCCGAACCATGAAAGAGCAACAGAAAGACAAAACGCGAGTATTAGGCAACAACAGGCCAACATAGTTAGCTGCTTTCTTTAAGTTGGGGCGGGATCTTCCACTATTACCGTCCCCTGTGCCACCATCGAATCAAGATGGTATTGAAGGGTCACATCCCCCCAGCGGTATAGAGGCGGTTGGATTACGACCAGAACCGCTTTACCATTCAATCTATCCTCCGCGATATGGAAGTTATGCGGCTTCAGCGTCTCGGTTTGCCAATGGAAGGTGCCGCCCACCTTGTCGAGACCGCGGATCTCCCACAGTGACCTGTCGGCCCAGCATCTGGCTGCCAGTTGAGCTGTACTGCAATAGATGTCAATAATGACCTGGTTTCGTCGATCAGCTTCTTCCGGGCTGAGGAGTTCACGCAACATGAGCCGCATGGGACCGTCAAGAATACTGGAAACCAGTCGTTCAACCGCGGATCTTCTGGCTTGTTTGCTCCTCTCTCCAAGGAGATATGCTTCCGGGCCCACAATTGGAGTCTTTAAAGGCATGCCCAACAATTCGGCCGCTTCGGCCATCGAAAGGGTATCCGGATCATTTTCGTTTAACGGAACGATCGAGTTCGCAAGGCGAACCGTGTCACTTCGCCATGCTTGGGCCTGGGCTTCATCAACTACAGTATGGTCAGTCTGCCTTGCCCCTGCAGAATGTGGGAGATCGTACCTGTTCGGAACATTTGATACATGTTCTGTAATTTTGTCGGAAGCGAGGTGTCTGGTTCGCCCGCGGTGCTGGTCATTTCTTCCTGCTCATAAAAGTCAAAGTAGAGGAAGGGCTTCATGAAGACATCTTCAAAGAGATGCTTGGTCCAGAGTGTGTGAGCAAAGACCTGAAGGATGCCCTCTTGAATCCTGGCTGGAAACCGTTTCATCAAAGACTCCCAGTCTTCCTGCTTACAAAATCCGTCGAGCGAGGTGATGATGTTCTGCTTTGCACAGGCTAACAGCTTTGGTTCGACAGTATTGACATCCTCGATGGCATAATCAAGACTCCACATATAAAGCTTGGAGTGAAGGCGGTTACAAAATTTTTGGACCTTCCGATCAGTGACATCGGACCAACCTGTCTGGGCTGCTTTTTTTTGCATGGACATTTCTATTTCGGAATACATTTTTTGGAGCCGCTGGTTTTCAGTTTGTAAATTCTTTATCTGCTGGGCCAGGTCGTAAACGGGCGGTCGTTGGTGGTCTTCGGATCCGCTCCCTGAATGTGCATCCTCTCCGGGTGAGACAAGGTGATCATCACACGGGGAAATATCTTTTCTCTTCAGTGGAGGGGATGGATATGCTTTCTGGTTTAAGCCAGGATCGTTAGCGGAGAGCCAGGTGAGAAGATTTGAATAACAAGTGCGGTAATCTGACATACGTGACCAACTGCCTCATCTGCACCATCAGCGGCCGACAGTGTTGCAGGTACTGTGCCCGTCACCTCTGCGGTCAAAGAGCCTTCTGGCTGGACTGATGAGTCTGCTGCACAGCCTTCCTGTGATTAAGCAGCAAGTGTAAGCCTCCACACTGAAGACGAAGAAGATAGACGTAGATGTACAGCAACTCGAGATTGTCTGGTCAAGGCTAACGGAAATGCAGACACAGGAAGCATTCTTACCTGAACAGTGGCCATCTTCCGTGCAATCCGCTTGCTCCTTCTTTTTGCCATAGGAGTGAAATCTTGCTGAGATGGTCAGGAAAGGGCAAGAGTTGGGGATTTATAACAATAGTTAACCTATAAAAGTAGTGTATGGAATTAGCGAAAGTGAAGAACGAAAGATGAGAATAGACTTGATGGCTGATGAAATGTCAAAGAAACAGGGAAAGTGAGAGCAGAGAAGAGCAGATTCTTTGTCTGAAAAGTTCGCTTCCGGGTGTCTTGAGACACTTGACTGGGTCGCTTGCAACGGCTGAAAAAGTTCTTTGTCGCTGCGAAACCATCTTCCTGACCCTTTCTCCCAACTTACAAAGTCCATCCACCCGTGGTTTTCCCATGATCCACTTTCTTTGTCAATGGATGGGTTGTAGTTCAGCAAGGTCTCGGGGTATCTAACGCAACCTCAAGACCTTGTCGAACTTTTCCTTAGCAGTGATTTGAGACCTTGCTGAACTGCATGCCCATCAATGGAGAAAAAAAAAAAAAAAGAAAAAAAAAACCGCCGTCTCGGTCTGTCTCCCGAGTGTCAACGCACAAAGACATGACTGAGTTTTCTTGGAAAGATCAGGCCTGACTGTGAGTCTGTGTGTCTGTGTTGACTTCAATACGAAATCTCTTCGACATTCTGTCTCAGACATCATGTGTTGCCAGACCCGGAATTTCTTGGCCAGCTTGACATGGTCTGATTACTTGGAGCAATTTCTTCTGTCTGACCATTATAATAACTTCAATTCTTATCTCCTGGATGGCGTTGTAAACCAGAATTTCATATCGACATCAGAAAGATTGCCATCCAGCTTGTCACAGTCTATTTGCACACCTATTTACGATGAATCCAAAAGGCAAACTTGTTGTCGGCGTCGACTACGGCACCACCTTCACAGGTACACTATTCTCAACTCAAAGAATATGCTTGATCTGATCTAATCACGCAAAATAGGCGTCAGCTATGCGTTACTGAGGGTAACTTCTCTGTCGATTATGGGCCTTGTCCGCTCCTGGCCCACTCCCTCTGGGCGACTCACTCACGCCATCAAAGCCCCATCCAGAATAGCGTATCCTCAAAACAATTGCGCGATTCAGAAAAACAGCTGGGGATTCCAAATTCAACACGGGACATCCGCCTCTTCCTGGACCAAGTTGCTCTTGGATACAGGTGTGGATATAGCCCAGTTCAATGACAAGGCTTTGGAGGCGGCAACCGCAATGGGGATCATGAAACTGCCTCAAGGAAAGGTTGCCATCCAGGTTGTTACAGACTTTCTGCGGGAGGTCTATGTGAACACCTGCCGAGAGCTGGAGAAATACCTTGTCGAGCTTAGACCTCCTCTTCGTCTTCGTGATGTCCATATGGAATTCTGGTTTACGACGCCAGCAGTCTGGTCGGATCAGGTTCAGTTCGAATACAAGGAGGCTGCTATTCGTGCAGGCTTTGGACCAAGTGGTGACAGGCCGGGTGATACCATCTATATGCTTTGCGAGCCCGAAGCCGCCGCACTTGCCACTTTCAAGACAATGCCACTATATGGACCCGGAATGCAGATCAAGCTGCGCGGTCCAATCTTGAACGCAAAAGTACCCTGGCTAACCTGACTATTTAGCCAGGTGATGGGATATTGATATGCGACTGTGGGGGCGGCACCGTGGTGAGTCAAACGCTCAACGTTGCAACTACCCGGGCGCGGCTGACATGACCTAGGACGTGACAAGTTATCTAATCTCGGAGGTCTCTCCCATGTTGGCGTTCGATGAACTAACCTCGGCCGTTGGTAAGTCACTCCCTTAGGCCTACTGGGTGGATGACGGCGCTGAAAGTGAGCAGGTGGTATGTGCGGCGCCACAGCCATCGACCGCAATTTCTATCTTCTCATGTCCGAGAGGTTTGGGGCGGCGTTTAAGGACTTGCCTTTTAAACTAAAGGCCCCAGGCAGTGAGTTCATGGACAACTTCCAGGTTATTAAGGAGACATTCTGCTGTTCAGCTGTGGACAGGGTCCATCGACTTCCCCTGGCCATGGCCCTCAACAACCCCAACCCCTCTTTCTTTGACGCAAAATATCAACAAGTTTTGCTTTCCGGGTATGTAATTCCAGAGTCGACGACATGCCTGGTGACTGATTGTGACAGCAATGACCTCCGTGGAATATTCGATCCGGTGCTCCGCCAGATTACGCAGTTAATACACCGCCAGATTGAAAGCGCCAACCAAGAGGTTGGCCGCTTCGTCATCAATGTACAGTCCCTGTTATCGAAATGAAGGGCCGCAGAGCTGATTGAAGCCCAGAAAATTGTGTTAGTCGGCGGCTTTAGCCAGTCACCATACCTACGGGAAAGGATTTCAGGAACATTTGCCGTCGATGGAAAGCTGGCCATACTCACCCCAACAGACCCGTATGTGTCAGCAATGGTCTCCCACTTGGAAGGACGCTAACTGCATCACAAACAAGCAATGGTCATGCGCGGCGCAGTGATTCGGGGACTTGGAGGGCCTCAGCCCACCACGAGAAAATGCCGAAGTCATTACGGCTTCGAGTGTCCTCTTCTGGTCAAGGGTACCGGAACGGTTCCTGTATTTGTCTCCTGGGTCCTTGCCAAGGTGAGTTCCGGAATCTGTCCGCGAGACGCTACATGAGGCCAACTGTTTCTGACATTGCCAAGGGGGAGAGATATGCCCGGAATTACACGGCGACGCAAGACTTGGTTGTCACCCATCACTCGGGGGATTCTCTGATGAAGATCAGTAACCTCTACAGCTGTAATGATGCGAACGCCCCACAACTAGTTGATCACCCAGGTGGGTTATGTTCCTAGTGAAACCGTTGGGTTTATTATTGATGCAATCTAGGTGTTTACCTCATCGCACAGATCATGTGTGACTTTGCAAGTGTCGACCTTGCTCAGTTCCCGCAGTCTCGCACAGGCACACAAGTGGAGTATCTCTTGGGATATTCCATTGAAGTCACCTTTGGCGCCCAGGGTGACCTCAAGTGCAAGGCCGTCTGTCAGGATCGAACAGTTGGGGAATCTACCGTCCACTTTGCCCGAGAGCAGTGGTAGGTTTCAAGGGGGCAACATGGCTCTCTGTAAAGTTCCTGCCATCATAGTTATAGCACTCATAGGTGTGTTTGATGGGCTAAAACACATGTTCCGACCCTTCGATCTGCTCAGTAGCGACCAATGTGCCGCTTTCCTCTGGGGGAAAGGTTTCGAATCATCAACCACTTGAAGAGTGACTGAGGTTTCAACGTCGGTATAGGCCATAGTGACGAGGAGGTATAGCTGGCTTGGAAAAAAAAAGAGAAAAATGTTGCAGAAGCGGTTGCTTGGTGTCTGGATTAAGCGGAGGTAATGAGCCAGAGAGCCATATAACTCTTCGATTCGCAGCAGCGGGCGCGAATTTGAGGTACTAGTTCCTGCAGAAATGAGTGATTTAGATACAGTACTTTGCAGTTTTCAGGGCTTAGAACCCGAGGGGTCCTCTAATTTTGACAAACAAAGAGAACAAAAAAAGCAAGTAGATCTGACGTATCGTACTAAGGTGAGGAGAGCGCTCAGCTAATGGGCTTAAGTGAAGCAGAAGTAGTAGCGCGTAAGCAAAGCATCAGCCCTGGACCATGTCCATTTGACCAAGTGATCCATTGTCAAAAGACGCTAGGAAAGCACCACCATCACAAGCAGCCGCAGGAGGAGCAGCTAATCCAATCACTGATGGATGTCAAGCTGACTGTATCTTACAGTAACGTAGGAGGACTGACCCTCCCTCCCTGCCCCACCTTCAGCTCCTTCAAGCCCCTGTAAGCTACCGCAACTATCTTAATTCTATCTATGGAATACATGAATTGCCCTCTACCTTGGAATGGCTGGTCGGCTTTGGCTTATTCCCTTGTATTTTTGTGTGCTTGGGTTCTTGTACGAGTGCGTGCATATATGTGTGTGCTCATTTTAATGTCATACAACCTATGACTGATATTAGTTGAGATTCTTATTCAGGACAAAGTCCAGAACAGTGACTATGCTGACAAGGTGCTCTTGCTCCAATGACAGAACATCATCTGGCAATAGACCACCATCTCATCATTCAAGGATAACTCATCAGTCGCGGACTCATTAATATTAATATTGTCTACGTACTCATGTTAGGAATAAGTCTTCGCACTGGAGTGAGCTACCCCAGTGATACAATCCCCTTGTCTATACGAGCGTATTTCATGAAGCGTTTCCAAGTTTAACAGAAGCAATGTGTGACTAGAATCCTTAAAATTATACTAACTACAAATCCATGCGGTTCTTAATGCGGATAGCGGCAACATCTTGAAAAGACCACTAGCAAATGCATGCATACCTAGAGACTGAAGACTGAGAGATAATCATTGGGGGCCTCTGAATGGGGATTCCTTCCAGTACGAATGGAGCAAAAGCAGAATAATCTAAGTCCTGATCGGTGTTTCAGATATGAGTCGAACGACGGTGCGGTTGAAAACACCGTGTGACGTCCCAAAGCCCAAGGCTCAAAATGATATTCCCTAACGATACTATGCATTGAGGTTAAGAGGCGAGACACAAGTGAAGGATGTTAACTGGTTCGTGGTAAAGGCATCGATCATTCCTGTGAGGAAGTTTAGCTTTGTTCCCCACAAGTTTGAAGGATAGAGAGAATCAGACATACCAGTTACAGCGGCGTACATCCCCAGACCACACATCGACAGTGATGCTAGGAAATAGACAATATGCCAAATGTTGACGCCGACTTGGAAGATGCCGCCCGCAAAGAATCCACGAACATATCTCTGAACGGTGCTACCCTCCCTTGAGACGCGTCCCGTGCTCGGATCAAAGCCTTCACCTTGTTGGATGCCGTTCTTCTGGATATCGAAGCTTAGCGCAAAGAGAGGCGGGAAGCTATATGTAAGATTGAGAAGCATGGATGCCGAGATGACCGAAACAAAGCCCATATAATCCGGAATGGCAGCTGCGATAACAAACGCGATGATCCACCAAATCGGACACAGAGCGGCATACATAATTTTCCCAACTCGGGTGGTGAGTGGGGGCGCTTTGAAGATATCCAAGAAGATGTTGTTATAGACGACCTTGACCCCAATGTTTCCGTAGAGGCCACCGGCAATGAGAGCACCAATTAAGGTGATCATGTTCCCAGCCGTCTGCCATCCATAGGCGCTCACTCCCTGGTAGCTGGGGTTATAGCTATACTGCCCTTGAAGGTAGTACACAACGCAGCCGTAGATCAAGTATACGCTGTAAATGAAGAACTGGGCAACCCACATCGCTTTAATGAAGTCCCGAGGTCGCCTCATTTCAGCCAAGAACTCCACGAAGAGTTGAACACCCGCATACGCCAGGACGCCTGAGAGCATCCCGTTCACAGAGCCGATCAGTCCATCAGGAGGGATATTGCTATAATGGATAATGGGAGGGTAGTTGCCCTGCTTATCGGGAAGGATAGTATTCCGGTTCACCGCACTGCCCGCAGATCCGAGTATAGCGACGGCGTAGTTAGGTGGAGAGTTTGCCATAATCCCCATAGTCATAAGAATAACAAAAATATTCAGCCAGACTGAAAGATTTGCCACCCATCCATAGGCCCGTAATGTGCGGATCTGCGATATCAGGAAGCCGGCGCAAGCGAAGATCACAGGACAAACGGCGTAGCAGAGCTTGAACTTGGACATCTGGGAGATGTTCTGTCCATATTGAATCGTAACTTGACCAGTAATAAGCAGTAGGCCGATACCTTGGCAGAAATTGGTAATATATCGTCCATATCGGCCCACCGTTCTGAACGCCAGATCACCATAGTTCTTTGCTGGGAACTCATAGCTATCAACACCGAGAAAAACACGGTAGACGAGATACCCAGAGTAGCCAGCCATAAATCCAAAGACCGTATAGAAAGCGACACCTATGTTTATAATCAGTATCACTGTCTGATCAATATTACCCAAACGATATCACACCTGGCCCCCATCCTAGTGTACCCATGGTATAGCCCGAGCCGTAGGGTCCCAAAACGTCAGTAGTAATGAGGAAGAAGCCTGTGCAGATCGTTAGCACGTATGATGACCACCCTCTCAGCCTTGAATCCAACTACTCACAAGCACTGGCCGAGGCAGACCTGAAGGCACGACTTGCATTTGTCCACTCCTCATCGGTGATCTGCAGCCGCCTCTCTGGGTTTCTGAAATCAGCCTCAGTCAGAGTTGTGGTCGGGATGTCATCCTGGGCGTCTGTCCGAGCGGCCTTCTGAAAGAGCTTTCGAACATTGGAATGAGGTGCTGCCAAACCCAACTCTTCCTCTCGGGTTTTGTTGGCATAGTAGTGATATTCCTCAAAGGCGACCGTAGGGTCGTATGGCTGGCGAGCCTGGGGCTTGATTAACGAGCTGTAGCCCACCGCTTGGGCATGAGGTGCAGGCTCGGTCTCCAGCTTTTCCTCCATGGCCGAGTGTGCGTCGGGGTGACAATAAGATAAAGTGATGTGATATGAGATGGAGGAGAGAAGTGCGGAGGTCTGGCTTAAGAGTAACTTGGCGGATCAAGCCGGGGATTGAGCTTATCTCCTATTTCTCATCGCGCCCGGACGCCGCAAGTCCTCCCTGGCTAGGGTTACATCGAAACGCCAGAGTACCCACATACTAAGCAATGACAAGCTTCGTTTGGAGCGTGCTCAGACTGAACGTCCCGTCTGGGTCGAAGGTAGTCTCGCCGTTGATTGGTGAAGCTGCCTCCCCGCAGCGAGTGTCCACTCCCATCTGGATTTTGACTTGTCCGTTCAACCCGCACTCAGATAAATCGCTCAAGAAGGCGATACTTGGGCCCGTCACTAGCCACCTGCTGCCGAACAATCCAGAAAATAGCCGGGACCTCAAAGTCATGGCGTTTTAATCGCGTCTGCGGTGAAATTGTAATCCACCCGTTTATATAGTAAGCTTGGTATACGATGTTTTAGTGCTTGTGAAACAAACAGAATTCCTGAAGAGGTGCAACTTGCATTTCCTACAATCGAGTGTCAAGCAATTGTATGAACTACGTTCAGACCGAGACCTCGATTCAAGTCGATCAATGCAACTTCGCCTACCATACAAACACGGCTATTCTCTGCTATAGATCATTTCTCATCCAACCTATACTCCCGAATCAAAACATCCGCAGCTGTCGCCCCCGTCACATAAGCAGTAGCCTGGGTATGATTGTTCGGCAAAACAGGCACAACGCTCATATCCGCCACACGAAGATTCTCGATTCCAAACACACGGAAATGATTGTCCACCGCCGCATCATCGGCACCGTTCTTACCCATCTTCACGGTGCCAGTCATATGCCAACTAGACGAGATATTATCCTTCCAGAATTGCAGGATGTCCTCATCCGATTCGGACGCCGGCCCAATGATGGTCGAGATGGTATCCTTGGCAAAGGCTTCGTGTTTCGTTAATTCCCAGAGATGGCGGAAGATTTCGATACAGGCCCGTCTGTCGAAGGGGTGGGAGAGGAATTTGGGATCGAAGAGGAGTGGGTCGTTTGGATCAGAGGATTGTAGTCGGACTTCGCCGGCTGATTGTTCGTTCATCAGGAAGACTAGCATGCAAATATAGCTGTAATCTTGGAAGAGGTCTGGGAAGATGAAGTGTACTGGGAAATGGGTGATGATCTCGTAGTGCGGGATTGTCTCTCGGTTGAAAAAGTCTTGTACAGATGGTGGGAGAGACTTGAATTCGGCGGAGGATGTTACTTGCTCTGATTTGAACCAGCCGATGCCGAGTTGGCAGGCGTACCTGGCCCATGGGCCTGTTCCGTCCTTTTCCCATTGTTTCATCGCTGCTGTCATGGCGGCTTGGTCTTTGAAGAAAGTGTTGCGGTCGTTTGTTTCTGGGTTTCGGGCTAGGACTATCGGCACGAAGAGGTGGTCGCGCAGTCCTTGGCCGATTGCTGGGAGGTTTTGAATGACCGGGATGTTGAATTTTGCCAGGTCGTTGGCTGGGCCGATGCCGGAGTGCATTAGGATCTTGGGGTTGTCGAGGGAACCAGCGGAGAGGATAATTTCTTTGGCAGCAAGGTCTATTCAGACGTCAGGATTGCGGGAGATAGAAGGTAGTAAGTGGTCTGGACAGAGACTTACATCTCTTTCCATTGGTCTCAACACCAGTAGCCTTCTTGCCCTCTAAAATGACGCGCTGCACCGGACTGTCTGTGACAATAACGAGGTTGTCAGGAGCATCGAACAACAAATCCACCGCAGTCGTCCGTTGCCCCTTATGAGCCGAGTTGATACACAGACCCATTCCTAGGGGGTTGCCCGAATTATGGTCCGTGTTTCGTTTGAGCCCAGCCTGTTCAAAGGCATCCAGAACCAACGAGAGATCATCCTCCCACTCTTTGGCATACCCAACCTGCAAACCACCCTTGTCGCCATGGTCTCCAGCCTGATGTCCACCGTACTTCTGGTTCTGTGGATGGTCAATAGACCCCGCGAATGTTTCCAGATTCTTGAAGCGTGTTTGCATGTTCTTCCACGAGAAGGTTTCATCGCCGACCACAGATGCCCACTCGTCATAGTCATCCTTAGCCCCGACGGTGTACACTCCAAAATTGATAGCAGAAGATCCGCCTAGTCCTTTGCCTCGCGAATAGTCAAGTTGGCGGCCGTTGCAATGTTCTTGTGGGGTCGTTTTGTAGCCCCAGTTCATTTGCTCTTCCATGAAGGTTGTCCATCGCTTACCGTCGACGCGGAGGGACTTGTCGTCGTTTCGGCCGCCGGCTTCAAGGAGAAGGACGCTGGGGCGTTTGGCAGACTTGGCGAGGAATGCGGCGAGGGTGCATCCAGCCGGGCCGCCTGATCAGACAGTGAGCTACGTTGGCAACTGGCGACTGGCAACTCTTGCAGCGATGTATACTGACCTCCAACGACAATGAAATCGTACGTTTGCTCTGATGCCATATTGGACGATATTCTGCGTCAAGATTTAGAGATCCGCATGCCGAGAAAGAAAAGCAGACGGCAGGACTGACTTTAAACCCAACGCGCCAGGTCGCCTGAACCAGAATCAATGATTAATCATCATTTCAACTGTAAGCCTCGCGTCAGCGAGACTAACATTATGAAGCTCGGGCGATTGGCCCAGCCTCCTTAGAACAGCGTCGTCCACCCCGCCGAGTGGGGTAGTCGATCAACAGTCAATTTGTCAGAGATGTGACTACAGGTCCTCCGACGCGTGGAAATGTCTCGGGTAATCAAAACAAGTCGGAACATTAATAACCTAAATCCCTAACCTTTTACTTTATCTTATCTGACATACTTTTAGTTTACAGGCCGGGTCGAAACCTCCTTCCGCTAGCGCAAGACAAGTTTATTTCCATGACTAACAGTCATCTTGCTAAAATTACAAACCACTTATGCAAACGAGACCAGCATTAGGGTTTCAGGATGTGGGTAGGGTTAGGATTGCACTGACCTAACGATCTCTTCTACCACTAACAAGACCCAGTTAAGGATTGCTAGCCCACACATTAACCTAACACAATCTCCTTCCACTCCATTCCCGGTTCTAGCGCCGCGTTCAACGCACCCCGTAACAGCCTGGCAAGTCCGATCCGCTCAGCGACCCCTGCTTCCCACTTGACTATCATGGCGCCGATAGAGTCATGAGAAAACCCTAGCACCACAAGATTATATACAGTGGAATCTCCGGTTAATAAACCATCTGCACAGCAGTCTAAGACCTTCCCACAAGCTATATCGTTCCGGCCCCAGATACTCAAAAATCGATCGGGTGCAAAGCCCACTGAAGAAGTTTCAGAATAATCAGATCCCGAGTCGGTGATGGGATCAAGGCAGGCGGCATCAAGTCTCCTAGGCAGGCTTTCTCGACTCAGTTTGAATGGCGCGACAATGGTCCAGAATCTTAATCTCACTTGCTGAAGCGTATCCGAGTGTTGTGGCAAGTGCGGGAGATAGCTATAGTCGGGTTGGTTGAATGTAGGCATTTGCTGCCCGTGGAGATATGCCTGGAGGAAGTCTTGAAGACTGTGAGTAGGGGGACTGATCTGGTAACAGCTACTTGACCTATCGTCCCCTTGCACCTCAGCGCGCCACCAGATAAAGCTCCTTGCATCCTCTTCCTCTGTCATGTCCGAGGTCTCTGACCTATCTGAGCTGGCTGATTCAGTTGACCACTGTATCTTCGATATATCTTTTTTTCCCGTCCACCCACTCCAGGCCCAGCTCGGGAAACTTTTCCTGCGAGCCCCACCTTTGACCTCGTCTATATCCGAAATCCATAGAAGAGACGTGGCGAAGCCCTCAATTGGATGGCCGCACATGAATGACGATCCAATTTCCAGGTTTAACACGTGTAGCATTCCAGCGAAGGCATTCAAAACGTCAGATTCGTAACTGAAACACCGTGAACTGTACATCTGAACTAGCTCATTGTAGTTGTCTGATCCCGACTCGGGGGTGAGCGATTTGAATGGCGAGATCACACCTAAGCCGTATAGCTGATCATGCTCTTTATAGGAAAAGGTCCTATCCTCACAGACGACCTCCTCGATGAACATGGCCTGTCTGCATTCGAAGAAAACTTCATTGGGAAGAAAGACGAGATTCCGACAAGAGAGCATTCTCTCCTGGAACCTATGATCAATGTTAGCAAAGAGAAGCATTAGTCATTGTGTAACATACGTCCATCCTCGACTGTTGTATACAGAGTACTCAACGATAGAGGTATGAGAGTTCAACACGGTAAGCTTAAGACCAGGTTTCACCTCCTCAAAAAACTGGGGGTACAGTCTAGTCCCGCGTCTTACGCCAGGAAGGCCAGCGTTTGAGTCGTGGCCAGCCGCGGCGACAATGGTAACCAGAGATCCGGCATACACGGCAGCCATCTCATGGATCCAATAGCTCTTGCTGATCTCGTCATCTTGGACAATGCACATGTTGTCCACCCATAGATATCTCTCCCCAATCCCTTGAACTAGTTGCATTGCGTCCTTGATTGTCTCGGGTAATTGAGTCTCGATGACTCGAAGACCAAACTTCGTCGAAACCGCTGCAAGATTCGCCTTTTTAACTTGGAACTGCATCTCAACAGGACCCCAGACATAGCTTAACGCAGCGTATCGGCACTTCTGGGGCGCTGTTATGACTCGGTGCTCTATCACATCGATTACTTTGAAGGGATGTGCTCCGTTCGCTTCACTAGGCTTCGCTCGGGGTTGAGTCCATGTTGTTGGCGGCTTACAGCCCTGATGGTGGTCTTCGCATATTCGGATCCATTCCCTGAGCTTACAATAGTCCACCTGTTCAAGGTCAACTCGGCGAGCATTTCCAGAGCCGTAGGGAGGGTCATCCTGCAGCGGAATCAAACTTGGAAGCTGGATGATGTCGTGGCGCCCTCCAACACTAAGGTTGATTTGATAGGCAGTTCCGCCTCTAATTGTTGGCTTTTCACTAAGATTCAGACTGAGTATGAACTTTGGAGCGGAGTCACGGAGCTGATTTTTGCCTTTGAGTAGATCACTGTCGTGAACCAGCGCCTTAACGAGTCGTCCTAGTATTTCATCGTCTGAGTCGCCATTGAACTCATCATCTGAATCCGTGCATGATTCTTCGCTGATGCCTTTACCCGAGGTCTCCTCACCGTCTTCATCCTCGCTTTCTTTGTAAAACACGTACACGAGGACTCTGCTCATTAGAAGGCAAAATACGCATGTTGTGGCATTACGCAGGACGTAGTCAACGCGTGCAAACTTCGGGCGCGACCACTTGGCTTCCTCCCTCCTATGAGCACCTTCCAAATTCGGGAGTAATAGCGACAGATCAAGCTCTTTGCACAAATCGCAGAGTTCCATTCTCGGTGTCTTGCAATCCCAATGTAAGTTTACGCAGGAAGAACATCTCTCTTATTTAAATGTCAGCGAACGCACAGATCTTACATTCACTCAACTTCTGTACGTGCCTATCATTGATTGGTCTTTACCTCGAACGCAAGTGGCTAGATCTTCATTGGACAAACAAAGGTAGTCAGCTGAGAATTGAACATGGATTAGTTACCCCTCTTTCCAGCCACAAATACATAGGCCAAAGAAAAATCTCAATATATATATAGGAAGAATGTTGAAGCATTGGCATAGATATACTGCGTGGTCGACCTCCACCATCAAGTGCTGGGCTTCCGCTACCAAACAAGCCTAGGTTAGTGCGAATACTCCTAATAGAACGTTCACGGCAATCAACAGCATTTGCAAGCTGGGGGTTAGTAGAGCAATTTCTGCGGATCGTACCGTGGATAATTATATACTTATAGGGTTCAACGCGGCCTTTCAAAGTGTGCAGCATGGAGGTGACGCTGTATTTTGATTACAATACTAGTCAGCGTACATGTACATATTTTAGTAAAGTTGGTTTATCTAAGTATTAATTTCAGTTCTAAATATATTAAGTTTATCCAGCAACTAAATGGAGGCTGATGCATGAATTGGTGCCGTGGCATTAGGGTTTGGATATAAATTTGTATTGCGGGCGCGGAAAGAGGTTTCAACCCGCCTGTATCCAAACTTTCTGAAGGGCTGGCTGACCAGTATCCTGATATGATTAGATAGCCACCTTTCTCAAACGAACTGACCAACATTCATTGTCGACAAGTTTCGAAAACTACGTGTTCCTGTGATCCCGTACTTCTGCTACTACCACCGGAAGGACTACTGAACATTTCCCGTCCACAAGAGCTCCTGAAGATGGTGTATGCTCTGATTTCTCAAATGGTGAGCTTGGTCCCGTCGGATCTATCCTCTGCATTGGACTCTGAACACATGCCGGATCTCTCGCCCGCTCGGATTCGCCGCCTCACTCCAGACCCGAACTCGCTGCCAGATGCAATCGACTTGTTGAGGGATTTATTACCAGTAAGCCCATCAGTGATGGACTGCTGTGTGGATGGTTTGCAAATCCTAGACTTCCCGGAGGAGCCTCCCTGGTACCAAAATTGCTTAAAGAAATTTATTGAGGTTTTGGCGACTACGAAACTTCCTCATCCGCGCATACGGAAGCTATGGCTTTCCACTGACGGACACAGCTGGGCACTTCAAGGTGCTGTCACTGCAGGGTGAATTGAAGCCCACAACACAAATAGTGAAGATGACATGCAGCCGCTCGAATTGAGAGCAATGGACGTGGCTAGGGTTACTTAGGCTATGTCAGGTGGGCGATCATAAGTCAGGGTACATGGGGCGCCTTGGGACAATAGTGCACTGCGATTTTCGATATTGAGCGCCGCTTTCTAGGGAGTGTTTATCCCCGCTGATTCTAGGGATTAGTTAAATCAATCGCTCGGAAGAGTCGACAGCAGTTCGGATTTTTGCTTGTTTTCTAGTTAGAACATGCCTTTGTTTTTAATTGATTTTTTTTTTATCTTGTGATGCCAAGGCGGGAGTCCCTGGGTGCCACGGATGTTGTTATGCCAGCCCTCAATAGGAAATGAATTGGACACCGTTTCTCAGGGCCGTAATAGTGGATCAATGTGATTTCACAGACCTGAGCAACAGGGTCCAATTCATCATAGGAAAACAACCATCAAGGATCTGATCTCCGATACGGCACCGTCTGGCTTAACCTCACCACTACTTTTGACTACAGCTTTCGATTGACAGAACATCTTACATTCTTCATACTTTCTCCGGTTGGGACACTTTTTTGACATATGAGTTTAGTATTAGCGGTTGTCAACTAGGAGACTGGAAAAGGGAGTCCGTATCACTATCATTCTAAAGCGAGCATTTTTGTAAATATTGTGATAGAGTATTTTCGCTTTTGCGATTTGATTTGCCTTACCAGCAATATCAAGGAAGTGGTACACACAAGTTGGGGGAAGTGGATTTAAAGGTTAGGAGCCTGACGTTGGATTTAAGCTGTTTATGATAAGAGCAATATTTCTCATAAAACCGCCATGTGGATGTCCACCGTTGTGCCGCCTGAAATCAAACCCTCGAACAGCTTTCAAGTGACAGATCTATTACAACTCACATGATAGAAGTCAAAATTGATACATACGGGGCTTCCCGTCTGCTCAGCCAGACTTACGTTAGCCGATCGTTAGGTTAAGCCTAGTGGGGAAACCGCTGATCCCCACTTCTCCGCCGCACGACCATGGGTGAGATAAGTGTGGGGCTAGATAAGCAGTCACTAGCCAAGGGGCCGCCATTTCCGGCCCGTTTGGGTTTAGCGCACGTGCTGTGGGCCGCGACGCGGGTTTAGCTTCTGGCGCTATACATGCGGCGAACCGCCGCCTGTCTCCACCTTTACCTCGTCCGTTGAACTTTATAAGGTCGCTGGTGAGACATTCAGATAAGTCAGATGAAGTGGGATATCCTGGCTCTCTTTCCTCCAAAAGGTCCAAGTATCGAGCTCTGAGTCTTAGTGTTGGGGTGTCTGGACTTTATCAAGAAAAATACACCTTCGTTATATAGATTCCAGAATGATAGCCAGTCATATAACTATGACAGAATTTTCAATCGATAAGAGGTAAACTAGTGAGAAAATATCTTCATACCGAGGATCCAGTATATATACAGCTATTGAGCCAAACTCTACCAGGGGCGGATATTCTGTCAATTTGAATAGCTCCTCGACGAAGACATGTACCTAGGTATCTACGGTGAAACCGCCACACAGTACGCTTCCTCCAGCCAGAACCCAGATGTGCAATCTGACGAGATAGCCGGATTCCAGGCGAGGAATTGGGCGGTGGTGATGCCATATTTAGCCGCCACAGTATCACAGGTGTCGCCAGCTGTATACATTAGTTCATTTCCATATAAGGGAATAAAATCTAGGAGGGGGAAGGAAGAAGGAAGGGAGGGAATGCATACACACTGGCACATAGTAATCATCACAGTTACTAGGAATACCAGACTGAGTTGGTGCAGGGGGTGAGATCCCCACGCAGTACGCTTCCTCCAGCCAGAACCCAGACGTGCAATCTGACGAGATAGCCGGATTCCAGGCGAGGAATTGGGCAGTGGTGATGCCATATTTAGCCGCCACAGTATCACAGGTGTCACCAGCTGTATATATTAGTTCATTTTCATATAAGGGAATATAAAGCTGGGAGTGGGGAGGGAGAAGGAAGAGAGGGAAAGCATACACACTGGCACATAGTAATTGTCACAGTTACTAGGAATACCAGACTGAGTTGGTGCAGGTGGTGACACGGTAGTAGTCGTTGCTGCCTGGGTCGCTGTTGTTGGGGCTGTTGATGTTGTTGGGGCTGCGGTGGTTGTGGCAGTAGTCAATGACAACACACCAACGCAGTATGCCTCATCAACCCAGAAACCAGATGTGCAGTCTGAAGAAACAGCCGGATTCCAGGCAAGGAATTGGGCGGTGGTGATGCCAAATTCGGCCGCTACTGCATCGCAGGTGTCGCCAGCTTATCAGGCGGTGATCAGTACGTACACGAATCCGAAAAAAAACTCGGGGGAAGAATGAGTCCTACCTTGGACAGTGTAGTACATGTCACAATTGGAAGCGATTCCCGTCTGCGTGGGAGCCCCTGGGGTGCTCGCTGCCGGGACTGAAGAAGTGGTGGTGGTGGTGGTAGTATTGCTCGAGGTGGAATTTCCATAGTTCCACCCGGGCAGCGGATCAACGCAATAGGCGTCACCAGCCACCAGGTCGCTGTCACAGGTCGTCTTGTTCAGGGACGGGTTGGCCTCGGTGAACAGGTTGATCGCGATCAGGTTGGACAGACAGATCTGCGCGCAGGTGAGATTGAGACTAGCCTCGTTGACAAACCAGGCGCCGCAGTCGGTCGTTGTGCCAGGAGCCACGGGGCTGCCAGCGGGGGGACTGACAATCGAACTACCGCTGTCACTGGTGGTGGTGTTGAGGGGCTGGCCAGTGTATGTGCCTCCGGGTGTGGAGACACACACGGTCGACCCCCAGTAAGGGACGGGATCGACCAGGTTGCTGCAGTTCACGTTGAGCTGAGAGTTGAAGTTGATGACGTCCACCGTGAAGAGGCCATAGGCGGCGGCAATGGTGCTACAGGTGTCATTGGCCTGGACAGTATAGATACTGGTGCAAGTCTGGGGCAGGCAGAGATCGGTCCCATTCCAGATGGCTGAGCAGTTCACGATGGTCGGGTTGATGTAGAACATGGTGGCCGCGGACACGCCATAGGCCTGGGCGATAGAGTCACAGGTATCGCCTTCCTTCGTTCTATAGGTGTTCCCCGAGACGCAGTTCACCTCTACAGATGGCACCGTCACATTAAAGGCACTCTGCACCGGGTCAAAACTAGACACGGTGAGATTACAGGCCTGTGCGACGGCCTCGTAAGTTGACTGCCAGTCCTGGGTGTAGGCGTCTGAATAGGCGTTCGCCTGGAGAAGGGCTAGCTGCTGTACGTTGCAATACGAGCACAGGTCTGCAGTTGGAAGAGTGGTGATATCATCAACATCGGGGAACGCCGCAATGACATCTGGCACCAGTTAGCGAGAGGGCCAACCCGACATGAGGAGACTGGAAATAGGTTTACATGCCGTTGCAATTATCACCGGTTGTTGGATCAGTAAAGCAAGTTTGGTTCCAGTTGCTCCAGACCTGGTCAACCAGCGCAAGGAAGGACATGCCAGGGATCAATGCAGCGGTGGTGCCACAGCTGGCCGCCACGGAGTCATGCAGCTGGGCAATTGATGCCCCGCAGGCACTCTGGCAGACCAGAGACGTCAACGTAGCGTTGTTGAGGCTGCCCCCATAGGAGCTCGTCGCCAGAGATGACACGCCCGGGTCACAGTCGATGCTATTGTACAGCGAACGTTCACAAGCACTGGTCAGACCCAAGCTGGACAGAGAGCCATTGGTGAACATGGTAACCCCCGCATCTGCATTGACGCCGGCAGAGGCCGCAAGAAGCAGCGCAAGAACGCCGGCAAGGACCATGTTGCAGCGTGGAAAGGAAAAGGTGCGTGTTTGGATTTCTTTTCCAGCAGTCCCGGGGGCATCAGCACCTGTTATGAAAAGAAAAAATCACTTCGAACCTTCTTAGTAGTCAGGAGATTCTCCTATATGACCCGATGCGACTTGACAGGATCCCGTCGGATGGACCCCCGAAATCGGAAATGAGAGCACACACTAGACACCGTCCAAAGACGATATCAGGCGTTCCATTTCTGGTCGAAAGAGATATCAGGCGTTCCATTTCTGGTCGAAATCTGATTTTCAGCCCCCAATACAGGAGAGCATTCGCCCGAGAGGAGCCGCTCGCCGGCAAAATGAGGGCCCAGACGCCAAGTTGATATTACTATTGGTGCGGCGCAGAAGCTTAGTTGGTGGAAGAACTGGCACGCTAATGCAGGCCGAGTCATGAAGAATAAAATTACCAACGCCACTAGTATAAGCTGCACTAGACTCTAATGCCCCTCTAGTTGATGACTAGAAAATGTCTCGCAGACAAGCATTGGACGTCCGGCAATACGTGCCGCGGTTTACCCGGCCCCTGACAATATTATTGTTTGATAGATCCAACAGATCCACCAGGGGCCGACTGTTCTAACTGGTTGCCCGCTAATCTCGCTACTGAGGTTTAATCTCCCTAGGTGAGACATGCGCCTTTAGCTAGACTGTAGATGGCCTCACTGATTGTTCGGAGAATGCGCCGACAACGGTGAAGATAAGATAGATGGACACCAGACGGAATTGACCGGCCGGAGAATGCTGGGGTGCTCTTATATAGTGCGCGATGCATCTCTGGCAGATTCTTCACCAAGAAAGCAGGTTAGAAATAATAGCAGAGGCCGAGCGGCATATCTCCGTAAGTTCTTGACCTCTATACCACTTTGATTTGATCTCGGTTTCTTGGTTTCTTTGCTAACCGGCACTTGTCTAATACTATTAATAACAACAGTCCTATGAGGCGAATTCTTTGGACCCTACTTGGGGTTCTCTCCCTGGCGCTCGCAGATACCTACTGCGATAAAAACACCCCCTGTGCGATTGGCTGCTGCGGTCAATACAATGTCTGTGGCATGGGACCGACCTACTGCAGCGCTGAGACCTGCATCAACAACTGCGATGCGAAAGCCGAGTGCAATCCAGACAACTGGCCAGACCAGTATGTCAACGCGACCACCTGTCCCCTGAACGTCTGCTGCAGTCCCTATGGGTTCTGCGGCACGACCGAGGAATTCTGCGGCAACACCACCGTGACCCGGCCATCCTGTGATGCAGCCTCGCAGTCGATCACCCGAGTCATTGGCTACTACAACTCAGCGGCCGCGTCGCGGGGCTGCGGGGGCATGCTGCCCGCGGCCGTGCCCCAGGGTGTCTACTCACACATCTATTTTGCCTTTGGGAGCATCGACCCAGACACCTTTGAGGTCATCCCGGCGTCCAATGCCGATACACTGCTCTACCCCCAGCTGCAGGCGCTTCAGATGCGTGACTTGAGCCAGGAGCTCTGGCTCTCCATCGGTGGTTGGGACTTTTCCGACAGTGGCACCCCGACGGCAACGACATTCTCGGACCTGGTCGGGGCCAGCACGAGCCAGCAGAACGCCTTCTTCAAGTCGCTCATCCAGTTCATGACCACCTATGGCTTCACCGGTGTGGATATCGACTGGGAGTACCCCGCGGCGGGCGATCGGAACGGCCGGGATGCCGATTATGCCAATTATCCCAGGTTCCTCGCTCAGCTAAAGAAGGCACTGGCCGCGTACAAGTTTGGCCTGTCCATCACATTGCCCACGAGCTACTGGTATCTGCAGCACTTTGATCTGGTATCCATCAACCCGTCGGTTGACTGGTTCAACTTCATGACCTATGACTTGCACGGCACCTGGGACATCGGCAACCAGTGGACCGGGGCCTATCTGGATGCCCATACCAACCTGACCGAGATCACGACCGCATTGGACTTGCTGTGGAGGAATAATATCGAGCCCAATAAGGTCAATATGGGCATGGCCTTCTATGGCCGCAGCTTGACCCTCGCCTCCGCCTCCTGCACTGAACCGGGGTGTCCGTATCTTTCCGCCGGCGATGCCGGCGACTGCAGTGCTACGGCCGGGGTCTTGTTCAACAGCGAGATTGAGGCGATCATCAGTGATAATTCCCTGACCCCGCAGCTCTACACAGACGCCGCCGTCAAGACTATCACCTGGAACGGCGACCAGTGGGTCTCATATGATGATGAGGACACCTGGAAGCTCAAGGCCGAGCTGGCCAAATCTCAGTGTCTCGGCGGGGTCCTGGTCTGGTCAATCGACAGTGACGACAACTCACACACATTCTCCAAGGGACTGGCAGCTGCTCTGGGCAACGAGATCAACCTGAATATGACAACCGGACTGACGTCCTCCATGTTCGTCGAGGAGTACTCCTATATCGGCTCCTCTGTCAGCCTCTCCAGCCAGGACGCGTACTGCCACTTCATCAATTGCGGAGATGTCTGCCCCAGTGGCTTCACCGTGATCACGCGCGGCGACGAGACCTCACAGCTCATGCTGGATAGCACCGAGTGCCCACCCGGCGATGGGCAGACCCAGACGCTCTGCTGCCCGACTTCCTCGGACGTGCCAACCTGCCAGTGGCGCGGCTTCCACAACAACGGCAAGTGCACGGGCGGCTGTAACGACGGCGAGGCCGAGGTGGGCACCACCGGCGCCGGTTGTACTCGCTCGGGCTACCAATCGGCCTGCTGCTCCGTCACCTCGTCGACCGACCCCTGGTCCAAGTGCGCGTGGACGACCAGCTGTCAGAGCGACCAGTCGTGCCCCTCGGGCTATTCCAACTTCGTGGTGGGCTCGCGGAACGGCTGGGGGGGCATGCCCTCGTGCAGTGGCGATGACACATACAACTATTGCTGCTCGGGTTCGTCGGTCCCCGATGCCTTCACCAACTGCGACTGGAAGGGCCACGAGACAACCTTTGTCAACACGGAGTACTGCAGTGATTCGTGCCCCTCCGGGTACATCCGCGTCGCTGAGCAGACGATCAACTTGGTCATGGGGAACAACCAGAAGGGCCACACGACCGACTGCAGGTGGGGGAACGAGGCCTACTGCTGCAAGGGGTCCACTACCGTGGTTGTGCCCCGGGGCATTTTGCCCGAGCCGGTCTCCTACAAGGACCAGACAGCCAAGGACTTTGACGCCTACCTGCAACAGTGGCTCAATGACCCCGTGTGCCCCTTGACCTGGGAGGCCCAGTACAGCGCCACCTTTGACGACCCCTATGTCACCCGACGAGACCTGGCGTACATTCAGAGCATCAACAACAGCAGCAGGAACAGGAACAGGAACACCGACAACAATCCCCCCACCGGGTTCAGCGTGGCGGGGGCCCGGAGAGACATGGTGGACCAAGCCAATACGCTGGACCACCTGATGCCCTTGATGGAAAGCTGGATCACTGCCGAAGTCCTGCGAAGTGATATCGACTATCTCTATAACCTGCGACTGGAGGAGCATGGGCTGCAAAACGATGCGGCCAATTCGTCGACCCTGAGGGCGATGTTCTTTGACGCCGCCGCCAATAATGGGTCGACAGTCTTCCTCTATAGCCCGCCCTCGACCATATCTGACGAACTGTGCAACATTGCCGATTCGGCCCATGGGTTGGACCGGCTCGAGTTCGCGTCCCAATATCTCTGCGACGATCCAAGTGTTGACTCCACCCTGTCCTCGCGGACTGTGACCGTCGTAGGCACCACTGACCGCTCAGAGAACAATTGTTACCCGTCCGTGATGTATGTCCTGAATGGTATTCTCAATGTAAGTTTCTCTCTCTCTTTCATCTTGGATAAGGGTTCAAGTATTGACCATGGTTGGTATTCTATCAGGGCGATCTCGCCCTCCACTACCTGCGGTGGATCCCGAGCTACATTCGTAACACCCGCCGTATTGACGAGGTGATCCTCGAACTGGCCTTCTGGATGGGCCCAACCCTGGGCGTGGCCGATAGCACCGTCCGGACCAACTACGGGGATCGCAGCCACACGGTGGCCACCGACAGGTGGATCGTCATGCACATGCATATCCCACTCGACACGCATACATTCGTGGGGGTCGACAACGTTTGGTACGTGGGAGTCCGGAACATGGGCATTTACCACAGCCAGGGCTCCTACCAGCCCCGGGCCATCACCCCGGGACACGCCCGGGGGTCTCGGGCTGAATTCCGCTATTCAAGCTCCTACGCGGATGGGAACTATAACACGGGCGATCTGCGAGACTACAATTCCCGCACTGATACCATCGCTTGTCCCCGACAGCGCCGCGGCGATGCAGCGCAGCGGTGGTATCCTGGTCGGAGACGGGACAGTACTGTTCCTGGGTCGGCCAATCCGAGTGCGGATTATGGCCAGTTGCTGAATAACTTTGTAGGTTCCCTTTCTTCTGATATATAGATACAGATATGTATCCATGTATGGATATACTAATGGCGAATAGGGAGCATGGCTGCACGACCAGGGTACCTTCTCCGTGCAAAATCTGGCGTACCTCTGGCCAATCCTGCCAAATATCGACATCTCGAACGGCTATACTGCAGCAGACGTCAATGCGAGAGGCGAGTTGAAACCCCGGGCCGGTGCGTTCGATGAGAATTGGCGGCCGGATGGAGTCGCACCGAGGGATCCATCGTACTATTCCAATGTTTGAGTGTTTGGGGGAAGACTGTATATGAGGATGCATATTTCTATAAGAGTGATATAGACCCCCAAGTTGGCGTAGAACTGAGGTGACTGTATTGGCAGTGTCAAGTCTTACCGTAGAGGTGGTCGAAACTTATGTAGTGCATGAGTAGTTATATGTCAATCTACTTTTATTGATACTGGATTAATTCACAGACAGTAGAGTATGTATTTGACTTGATATAATCAAGTACTACTGGCTAGCTGCTAGCACTGGGAGTAGCTACGGTACTATAGTTAGTGGGGCCGCCCAAGTATCCGCAATATTAAACCCTCTTCTTCCCCCTCTTCCTCTTTCTTCCATCTCCTCGTTTCTCTCTCTCTCTCTCTCTCTCTCACACACACTCACACACACACTTTCTCTCTCTACAAATGAACTACTGATATAAGTAAGAAGGGAACAACACAAAAGAGAAAAACGAGAATAAAGTATCATGGCAGAGAGCGGTTCTCCTATCTCGGATCGCTCGGACTCCTCGGACCCCCCAGAATCCCCCCATCAAATAATCGCCAGGCGCAGAAACCGCCTCGTGAACATCATCAAGCAGAACGACCTCGCTCAACTCCATCAGTTCATCGCCTCATGCTCTCCCGAGGCTGTGATCGCCCCTGGGACACCCTACTTGGAGGACACCTTGTTCAATGCAGCCTCATACGGCAGTCCTGAGGCTCTTCGCATCATCTTGGAGGTGTACACTGCGGCCCCGGACGTTGTCGAGAGGTTCAACCCCAAGTTCTGTCTGCTGCTCGACGCATGTGGTGCGGCAAATGTTGATGTGGTGCGCTTTATCTTGGACAGCCATGACAGTCCGGAGAATCAGTTACCTATCGGAACGGTGGATTTGCATCAGAGAGATGACTCCGGAGATACGCCGATCCTCGCGGCTGCAGGGTCGCTGATGTGTCTTGCCAACGATGCAGATGAAGAAGATGAGACTGAGTGGATTCAGGATCGGATTTCAAGGGGCCATCAGTTGATGCATCTCCTTCTTGACCGGGGCTGTTCAGCGACAGATGTCGTTCCCCCTTTGCCAAATGATCTCTCTCCTGGGGGAAGTCAGGCGCAGGATAGTGTGCTTGGGCTTGCTGTGTCGAGGGCTAATGGTCCATTAATTCAACGGCTCATTGACTCCGGTGCCGATATCTACCTTAGGCATCAACACTTGCATCATGCCAGGGTACCGTTCCAGTTGAGGATGACAAAAGATCATGCATATGATGTCACAACGCTTCATCTGGCAAGTTTCTTCTACAATCCTGATGCTGTTAAATTGCTCTTGGATCATCAACATTACAAGAACAATACCAACCCTGACCTGGCTTCCTCCCGTGACAGTGATGGGCGACTCCCACTGCATTGGGCAGCCAGCGGCCCTGGAGGTTTTAACTGTAGACTCCTGGATAAGCAGCTCAGAATCACAGAGACCCTGCGACTGCTCCTTGACCATGATTCTACGGGTATCAACCTTGTTGACAACACTGGATCCACGCCGCTGCACTATGCTGCTATAAGCCACGCTATGTGCGGTTGTAGCCAGCACGCGGAGCTTGCTATCCGCACTTTACTCGAATACGGGGCTGACCCCCGGATCGCCGATGGCTCTGGCCGTACCATCCTACATCTATTGGGGTACCACTCCACTCAAAGTGACCCCATCGAGAGCACACTTCTGGATTTGATCTTGTCACACGGTGCCAATATCGATCACGCCGAGAATAACGGGAAAACAGCATTGCACGTCTTTGCTCAGAATTTGCGGCAGGTCTCGGCGGCAAAGTTCTTAATCGAGCATGGGGCGGATGTCCGGGCCCGGAATACTCTCCGGGAGACGCCCTTTCATGCGGCAGCGCGGGGGTTTTTGAATGATCGTGTACGCCGTGATGGGAGAGATACGGAAGTGACAACTGCGAACAGGATCAGGCTTCAGGATGAGATGATGCATGCTCTGCAGAAGGCTGCCGGGGAGGATGCTGCTATGTTGATGAACCAACCAAATGCGGAGGGTAAAACTCCGCTGGACTTACTGGAGGAGATCAGAAATCGGTGGCAGGGATGGGAGCAGCCCATACCAGGCCCTGGACGAGGCAGAGGCAGAGGCAGAGGGCAGCCAGTAGGAGCATAATTACATTCAGGAAGAATATCTCAAAAAGGTAGCCATCGTAGCTTGTGACATATTGGAACTATCGGAGTGTATATTTGCTTCACCAACAAGGATTCTTGCCATGCGTCAGGTCATTATAGTAAAAACGAATATTGGGCCATGTAATTTCTGGTATTTCTTTAAATTGCGTAAGAGCTAAGCTTTGATTCACTTGGCATCGATTACTAAAGGACATATATGTGGCATACGCCCGTGTGGGGGTCTTCCCAAGTCGCAACATGGTCTGAAATCCATCTTCCGGACATCTGGCTCGCTATGGACGAAGATAAATAACGGAAATCTAATCAGTGATTCTCCTTCCTGCATTTTTTCTGGAGAGAAGGAAACATGCCCTCCCAACCACCCCTGTCTCATGTGGGAGTAATCGTGAATTCCTCTGCTCGCCGTGTTGCCTGCGACCAGTGTCATGCTCAAAAGCTGCGTTGCACAAAACTCGAAAACTGCACTGTATGTGTTCGATGCCAGCGATTGGACCGTCAATGTATCTGGAGTCCTCCATCGCGGAGTGGCCGCCCAGCAAGGACTACCGTGGTCAAGCGGGGGAGCAGCCGCCTGGATACTGCTGGGGGAAAGCGTCACAAACGATCTTTAAGTGCTCTAGAATTGACCGCAGAGGAGAACGGTCCGGAAAGTGCGAGAGAGCCTGTTCATACCAGCCAGATCAGTACTCAGCGCGCCCCTCCGGCTGTCGAGATATCCGAGACAGTACCATCTTTGCCTCCATCCGTTGCAGATTGGAACATGTCCGATATTTTCAGCCTTTCAAGCCCGCGGTATAGTTCGCGGGACAATCCTTTCCCTCCTTTTTGGACCTCGGAGAGCGTGCCGCCAATACCCAATTTTACCGACTATTTTCAAATGCCCAGCATCGGGAATCAAACGAGAACCACCGAGGACACCCCTGCAATGGCCTCGACAGGCGCTCCCCAAGGGCTAGGCTCTCTGCAGGACATCACGCGAGGGCTCTCTGACATCAATCTATCGCTATTCAATCTCCAGCAATCTCTTCATGCCGAGCCATGGGGTCCGATGTTTGCGTCCCCAACCGCGGTGATCACGAAACTAAGCGCCTGTGGTGGTGACCAGCCCGATGACACGCTCGCCCAGGTGTACCCATTAATCGATATATTTAACAAAACAGACAGCACTTTATCGACATTGCAAAGCAAACGAGCATTTATTTCGCCTCCCTGTCCACCCCCCTTACATCTCGTACCACTCCCACAGGTGGAGCACCATCGCGTGCCTTTTGCCCAGAGAGCGACACGTCCAGCCAGTCGTCGTCTCATTTGTCCCCCGTAGACACTTATACACAGCCCGAGATACCTCCACCTGCGTCCTCAAGTACAGCTCGAGGAGACCCATCGAGCCCGGATTTACCAACAGCTCTTCTCTTTACAACCGGCTACGCGCGGATTCTCGATCTTTACACTACCGTCTCGACCCAGATATCACACTTCGTCCACGCACTGTCAGTACAGTCGATGGCAGGAGGCCCGGACTATCGCCAACGGATGCACCCCGTTATCCCGCCATTGCAGTGGGGTGGGTTCCAGCCCGCCAACTACGGTGCGCTGCAGATCTTAATGGCAATCCAGGTGATATCCTACCTGCTCGCGGGGGTGGAACGGGCCTTGGGTGTTGACGAGTGGGAGCGCGAGGTGACGCAGGGCCGATCCCAGTCTGAAGAGAGGGTACGGAGTCCATCGTCCTATTCAGGCGGTGAGGAGGGGGGCTTTAACTCGTCCGGACAGAAGCATGCGCCGTCTCGTCCGGAGAAGCGCGCCGGGGCTAGGAGGGGCTTGCTCAGCGCTGCGATGATTGAGATTGTGGTCCAGGGGGAGGGACCACGGAACCGCCGAGGAAAGGTTGGGCTGTTGCGGCGGAAACTTGAGAGGGTGAAGAAGGAGTTAGAGAAGAGCATGCATAGTTAAGGTGTGAATTTGCAAAGGAAGCTGGTTTATGCTGTTGAATAGATTGCTCATTTTATATTGAAATCAAGTGATATATGTCCTACTCATCTTTCCCTATTTCAGTCACTTTCCACTCCAATCCGGCCTTTTCTAGCCGCTCCACGTACAGCATTCCCAGAGATGCAGGGGTGAGAATCCCCCCTCCGAGTTTCTTCACCATCGAGGCCTTGTCATTTCCGTCCAAAACTTCCAACAGTGTTAATGCAGCTTCACTAACGAGCGTTGCACAGACACTATACACGTCCGTGTTCATGCGCATGACGCCCAATGCACTGGGTTGGCTTACATCGCCCCCATCCACTGCGACTGTGGCCTTCCATTCCACGAAATGATTCTCCCCGGTCATCTGCGGCCCTGTTCCCGGCTGCGGGGACAGCCATTGCAGCAACCACCGGAGTGGAAACAGAATGACACAAACAACCGCGACCGACATGGCTAGGAACGAGGACCACGCCTGCAGCCAGCTCGGCGCCGTGGTATACCCCTGGAAACTAAATCGTTCACCGTATTGCTCAGTTCGGTCCCCGTATCGCTGTAAAAGCGACCATGTGCGCATGACGACGGCTTGATCAGCCATGGCCGAAGGACTGAAGGTGAGATTACCAAGGAAACGATCCCGGCGGACGGGGAGGACAGGAGGGAGATGAGGGTGATGCGGACCAGCATCGGGGATACAGGTCGCGCGAGGGGCGCTGGCAGCCATCATCTGCCTGATCGAGTACGTCTCCAGACCGGCGAGGATGCTTGCAATCGTGCCCCCGCTGTAACCAGTCCAGGTATGTTGGATTGTGAAGAAGACGGGACCAAGAGGACGTCGCAGCCTCCGCGCAAGAAGGAGCGTCATCAGGTCTGGGGGGCTGGACTCCACGGCTCATTGGTGGATTATCTACGCCAGACGGTCAGCAATCAGCGTCTCTTGGTAAATGGCTCTCGGGGCATACAATTGCCTTGTTGGTCATGGCCTTATCATGCCACCGCGCAGCCAGCTGCTGCGTCCAGACGTGTTCACCAGTGCAATTCACGTAGGCAGTGGAGTTTTCGATACAGGCTACCACAACGGGTGTCCCATGTTTACAGAATGGCTAAACTGTCAACCTTCTTGACTGAAACGCGGGACACTGCAGACTTACTCCGACGGTGTTGAGCACCAGACGTGTTTGTGATGCCATGCGCCCCAGATCATCGTCGCTGAGAGTGGCCACCATAATATGAGGCAACTTGCGATGGGATTGGGTTCGGTCCAAAGAGTCCAGCAGGGCTGCCAGCTTCTGCTCGCTGCGGCCGGCAACAGCCCATCGGAGGGTTGGCGGACTGTTGGCCCACAAGTACTGCACCACCAAAGACCCCAGGTAGCCGGTGGCGCCATACACAATCAGATCATACGGCCGGTTCATTTCTTGTCAGTTGAAGCTTTATACAGATAGAAGTGAAAGAGAGAAGGAAGTGACCGAATAGGCCATCAGGAACTTCTTTGTCCCCTCATGGGCGCAACCCTAACTAACCTCTTTGGGCAAAACCCGCCGAACGGCATCTCCAACAATGACCAGTTGATGGCCTCAGTATAAGAGAAATGAGAGATAATTCTAGTCAATAATCTGGCAAAGTTGAGTGAAATGATATCCCTCGTCTTCATCCGCGTTCTTTCCCTCCTCACCACCTCGTCTTACCTGACGTTCACCATCGCCGAGGACCTCTACTTCAAGCCCTGCCTCGAACCCTCGGTCGTCGACGCCGCCGATTTCCTTCTCCCAGCCTATATCAGCGCATGGTCCTCATCTTCACCATCTACCTCTTAACCTGGTGTACGACAACTGCGAACCTCCCCGTGGCCCACCTGCTGCACACCAGTATCGCCGCCTTTGTCTTGCATCTTCTAGGGCTGCTGTTCAGCACGACGCATATGATCTGAGATTCTCACGCAATGACGCTCCTGAACTCGATCAAGGAGAAAGACACTTTCGAAAGCACGGAGATTGTTCGCCGGTGGTCGGATGAATCTGATCCGGGGGTGCTTGGTGGATGTCCAGGCCTGGGGTTGTTTTCTGGCTGGGTTTCTTGTTTGGAGTGAGATAGCCTCATCACCGAAATAATCTGGTGTCAATCAAATTTTACTGTGGCTTGGCGAATGTAGAGCTTCATCCAATCCAGCAGAGAAATCGGCGTTCGGCTTGTACATGGACTTGGCGCTGCTACCAGTAGAACTACGTGAATATATAGGAGGAAATAGTATCTTGGTGCCTGGGGGAAGCATACAGGCTTTCGGCTAGAAAACAACGGCTACAAACGTGCTGGACCGTAAGCATCTTCAAGCCCTAATGTATCTGCATAAACATCTAACCTACTGACAGGAAAAGGACCAGAATATTCCCTGTCCTTGACCAAAATCAAAGTGGTCCTGGTTGTGAACATCACCTCGAATGCAGCCTTACGCGCCAGTACCAAGGCCTGGAGGCCATCCACCATCGGCTTCGAGAAAACTACGGCGACAATTTTGTTATTCTGGGATGTCCGTGTAACCATTTCCTGCGGCAGTGACCTGTCTGACGAGGACATCCAGAGCTTCTGCCAGGTGAACTACGGGGTTACGTGTCCGGTGCTGGCCAAGATCAATCTTAATGGATGTCAGGCCGCACCGCTCTACCGCTGGCTGAAAGTGCACAAGACAGGACTTTTGGGGTGTCGCAGGATTACGTGGAATTCTAACACCGTTTGCTATTGACCTGCATGGAAGGATGAGGAGTCGCTGGTCACCAAGCACGAAGCCGGACAGTTTGGAGAAGCGTTTGATTGAGTTGCTGGAGGAACGTTAACTGGAACGTTGACATGTATCTAATCCTCTTCATTTGCCGTCTTTCTCTTGTACAACTCGTTCGGTTGGTATTACCTATTTGGGAATCCCGAAGCCGAATGTCAGATATCAAGCAGATTCTATGAAAACCATCAGTGAACCCTGGTTAAAGCTGGCTGCAACTCACGACTCTTGGCCTACTCGTGCCATGCATGTATATATAGCTACTATACTTGAACTTCATACTCACTATGGATTGGCTACTTGTTTATCCCAATTATAGACACACTCCTTCTCAATTGCCCAGTCCTTGATAGTTCTGCCTTCAGAATCTCTTATCACTTCGGTATCGGCGCCATACTTCCTGAGAAGATCAATAACTCTCTCATGCGCGTATGACCCCTGCTGTTGAATGTAAAAAGCAAGCGGGGTCCGCCCCACGCGGTCTTGAGCATTTACAATTACTGCAGCAAGTTTGGTGTGGACTATACTGGCAGACTCGAGGGTTTATTGAGCTAGTATAGTTCCATAGGTGAAGGCATAATAATATAGAATTCTAGAGAAAATCTATTTCCAGATTCCATGACAAACTGACCACATAGAATTAGTATGTGACTCTCATTACTGTGAAGACAATAAAATTGCTTCTACTAACCACTAGCTTGGCTCTAGCTACTTCGCTATGGTCTTGGCTGCTCTGCATGTATTATGCATGAATCTTAAGGGATTTTAGTCTACAGAAGTACAAAGCTTAATTCCTGACAACTTAGTATTGACAGATGAAATAGATGGGTTTTCCTAATCCATGAACTACGTATAAAATGAAGTCCACGAACAAGTCTATCATTCTAATATATGTAGAAAACAGAAGGGACCTATAGCACCGACACAGCCTCACCAGGCTTAAGCCAGCAAACCCTATCACTGAAGCTTATTTCACTCGAGCTCTCTTGTCCTCCCCAGCAATATGTAGTGACCGTGTATTTTGGATCAAGGGCTGCATTGCCGGAGTAGAATGGCATCTAGAAGGAGACACATCTGGTCGTCTGTTTAGCCCACGGACCCTCCCCCCTCAAAGTATGGCAATACCATCTGTATCCCAAATTGCGGAATGTTTTCGTCCCTCGCGCATGCCTGTGGAGAGAGGTTTGGACATTGCGTGGCATTGCAAGAGGACTAGAAACGACTACACTATTTATGGCTCGAAGTCCTAAGCGTCTAGGAGTAGTAAACAGGTGCAGGTCCAGCAGCCACCAGGCTTACCCAGATATGGACTGGGATTATGCATAGTACCCCGCCATGGAGATTGTTGGCCTAGAACGACAGTCGCGAGCTACTTAAACAATCACCCTCATGGTGGCCCACATACTGTCAACAAGTTCAAGGTCCTGGACGTCCAGATATGACATCAAATGTATGGATACTGGAGTTAATCATACTTGGCTGGCTCCTGATACTCTGCTCGGTAGGTGGCATCTTGCATGTTGATACCATTTTCATCCTTCTGCATTCTTAAAGCAAAAAACATCCAATAACCGGTCTCTCAGGCTATTTACACATATGGCGTGGTAGTGGCTACACTGGCTGCAATTGAAGCTCCGAACGCTGATGCGTATAATTCTTTGAATGCCAACTCTGATCATGACAAGCCCGCTGGTGGAATGGAGCCTGCGCTTGGAGACGCCACATCAAAGCCTATCACCACCGATCTTCAGACGGCGGAGAAACATCTTCGTCAACATACTGGTTGCTGGTATCGATACCGCGGGTTGAGCATGGCTCTAACCCATCGGTTGGTAAAAGTTTTCTTGATTCGCATTGCACCCCTGCAGGACACCAATCTCTTTGGTTGGTTTGTTTATAATGCTGTCATTGAAACCCTTCTGTCAAACCTGCATGTGGCTCTTCTCCATATCATTATATCACGGCCCTCGCCCAAGCGCTTCTACCAGCGTATCCCGGGTCTCAGCAGTTGGATACAAATCGCCCCTATTGCTGCCCTCTCTAGTGTTGCGACCAGTGCAGACTTCTATCTTCCCCTGGGTCTAATCAGATTTTTCGGAGAACGGGACGGATCTCATGCAATCCCAAAGGCTACGGGATTGTGTGAGATTGTGATAATTTTGATTTCCACAGCACTTCTGTACTTCGCTGCAGTCGCCCCAGCCCGAGCAATCTTTATCCGAGTGGCTGCTTCCATGCTACCGGAGCAAGACAAGCCCATTGTGGCTTTCGACCGTACGTTCGGCGGCAAGGTGATCCCTGTCGTCCTAGGAGGGAGCGGAAAGGTCAGTATCCCTGATGCATGGAGGAGCTTTCACTGGGCCGCTCGTGTTCGCTACCTCAACGCCTTTGCCAAGGCTTTTGCCCTTCAGGTTGTGTGTTGGTTTCTCCTCGTCCTGTTTGTTCTTCCTTTGGACTTTGATGCGAAATCTGCCATGAACATCAATTTCCTTGCTTGAACACTTTTATATCCCCCTTCTCTTTTCTGTATCATGAATTATCATTCTGCTTGTGATTGCCTCTTAATGTGTCATGACAGACCACAGCTCTGCACGCTGAGCCATGTTTATTGTCCTGTTGCTTGTCTACTTACATCTCTAATATATATATGGAAATTTTGTCTCAGTAGACTCAGCTGCGGCATGTCATGGGATAGGCCACATAGCAACGCTAAGCCATCTTTTAGTAACTAAGCTTTTTATATAAGGGTTGAGAGCTAAACTATATAGTACAGCCCTTAATACTTTCTCAGCCTTTTTCTGTAGTCCTCTTATAAAAGCTGGCCCCTTAGTATTATCTGCTAACAATCTCATTGATAATGCTATTATTAGACTTGGCATCTCAGATGTAATAAGAGACGTATCATGCAGAGATATCTAAGCTATTCAGCACACACATTAGCAAAGCTTTAGCGGTCTATAAGCAGCCCTATATGACGCATATTATATATCTTCTAGTTACAGGACTTTTGTAAGGCAGGATAAAAATGGTACGTGTATTAGAGACAACTTGCAAAATTTTGCTGGTGTTAACCTTATTGCTGAATGTTCTGCTAGCCTTATGATCAAGGAGATAGCGAAAATGCATGGGTAGTTGGATCTGACAGTCCGTTATTGACCTGTATATACATGTTTATGTAGCTAGATGCTGTTTATTATTCAAACACATTCTTAACTTGTACATGTATACTTCATTGAAGTCTCTATTTCTGGCCTTGATATATGCTTTATTGACGGAATTCTTAAAGCTACCTCCCTGCAGTTGCATATCACAGTCGTATCCTATGAATGACTCGAGCGATAATCTTTCTTGATCTATATCCGATCTCCGAACCCGACTCCGAGGAAAACCCCGAGAAATGCTTAGTCGGAGAATACTAAATGCCGAGACCGAGTCCGGGGTTTTGCCTCCCCGGACTTGATATCCATTTACGGCAATCGACAGTATACGTAGTCTCTTCTGCCTATCAGTACCACCACATCTTCAGGGTATGCTGACGAGTATTTGCTGCCTGGGTGGCAAGTCAAGGTCACAAGGTGTACGTGTACGTACGACAATGTGACTCATGACGGTCATTGTAGCTGTCCTGGACAGGTATATATACCGCAGTCGATCCGTAGAAATCTCAACCGGGCAAACTTTACAGACCAGATCAAGTACATACGATCATAAGTCATCCAGCTCAATATGCAGCATTCATGCCACTTCAGTCAGCATCCCCTAGCTTGGGATATCTCCATGCTAGAGGAACATCCTTTCTTTGCTCACCCTCATCCCCCTCCATACGATGACAGCTTCGAAAGCAGCTCCGGGGAGCCCTCAAAATGTGGGAAAAAGAAGCACAAAGAAAAAGCCAAAAAGGGTAAGGAAGATGATGAACATCCCGAACAGCCAGAATTCGGATTCGGTCATCCCTGTGGCCGTGGCCGCGGTGGTCGATGGCATGGATCCAGCCGATGGGCTGCACATGAAGACCCGGGATTCGGACATCGTCATCACCACCACCACTGTCACCGCGGACGAGGTGGTCTAGGTCCTCAATTCCACGCATGGGGAATGTTCAGCGGACTAGGACGAGGGGGCCCAGGACGGGGACGAGGTCCAGGAGGGAGAGGGGGCAGAGGCTTCGGCCATCATTTTTACAACTTCCACCACATGCATCCTCGCTTCCGCTCTTTTTACCACTCGCACGACGCAACCAGTTTTACGCCACCGGTCGACATCTTCGTCACGGCTACCGAAACGATCGTCCACGCCTCGCTTCCGGGAGCTCAAAAATCGGATTTGAGCATCGCCTATGACGCATCGCACTCTATGCTCCGTATGGTTGGTGTCGTGCACCGTCCTGGAGTCGACGAGGAGATGTACCGGGCTTTGCTGGTTGGGGAGAGAGGGCGTCATGTGGGGGTGTTTGAAAGGGAAGTGCCAATCTCCCATACCGTTGCGGTTGAGGGAATCCAGGCCCAACTGGTTGATGGGGTTCTGAGGATTGCACTTCCTAAGGTTGAAGGGGAAGTTGAACAACCTGACGAGGAGATGGAAAAGGAGGGTGCAAATAGTGAATCGGACACTGAGGGAGAAGAGGAAGAAGAGCACGAGGATGTGGAAGAGGAAGTCGAGAGGGAGTATGTGAAGGTGGATATTCAGTGATTGCTTTTCATCATGTATAAAAAACAGAATTGATATCGGGTAGAATAGCGCATTGAATCTATTCCACCCTACTCACACACGTGGCAAGAATTTTGTTCATCAATTTTAGTAATTCCCATTAATGGTAGTCTGTCTTGCGTCTCGAGTTGACAAGAATTGCACCTGACTGCAAACTCGACGTCTAAGACAACTTCTCAAGGACTGGCAGTCGTAGTGGTGCGGGTTGCAGTGCACGTAGCAGTGTTAACAAGCTCAGGACTGATTGGGTCTTTGGTTTCTTGGTGCTGGGAGGCTCCTGACAATGTGAGGGTATTTCAATTCCTCAACGAAGCGATAGGCTGTGACCTCTCGAATGGCAGAGGTTGGTCAGAGCTTTGAAATGTGGACTCCAGGGGTCTTTTGTGTGTGTGAGAGTCTGTCCCTGGTCCAGGATTTACGTTGTTGTCGAGGGGCCATTTTTTAAGGGAGCCGAGGGAACGACAAATTAGGTAGAGTAGAACGTAGACTTATAACCCGTAGAGAAGACTGATACAAAATATAGAAGTAAATGATAGCAATGCCCGAAAGGAGAAGCTCTTATCTTATCGGCCCTAGGAGACACGCTAACCGGAGTTGACAGCTGCGGAGAACAACCTAGGTCAACAGCTCAATCTCCCCCTCAACCATCTACCAGACCAGCTTCAGAGCTTTGGCTTAAACATGCGCCGAAGAATAACATTTGTCCAGAGGCCGGAAGCTCCCTTTCACGTCGACCAGGCCGTGTTGACAACCGATGCGCTATCCATTACCCACCTGGACGGGGCGCGCGAGGAGCGGGCAACATTCGGCTTCGATGAGCTTCCCTCAGAGGTAAGTGGTGACTCTATAGTTAGGAGTGAGCTAGACTGATTTATGATGTGTATAGATCTGGCAGGTTCTGAAATCGAGTCACGAGCTTCACATCCGCTGGGCGACGGAGCGGCCTTATGAGATCGGAGCGCCGTTTTCCAGTCGGATATCGCCTGGTTTGCATGTTTACTATACCCCTGGGACATCGGGGGAGACAGGGTGTGTATCTACGAGCCTTATTCTCTGAGCAGTGGTTAATGCAGGTTACAGGAAGGGATTGTGCTCGTTATTAAAAAAGGTATTCGACGAGTCGCTAGAATGTGACAGTCTCAGGGTAAGTTCAGTTCGTCGGTCATTGAATCATGGGATGCACTCTAACTCTCGAGTTCACGCAGTCCTCGTTTATACAACCTCCTATCCTCTCGGAACGATTTGCTACCACTGCCGCCTTCCAGTACTACAGTCGTCTCCCCTCCCTGCAGAATCTCGTCTCGTTCATTCAACACAAGTTCTGTGGCCGATCGGACGAGGCATGCTTTCATCATGCAGAATCAATACTTTCTGCGGACTCGGTTGATGTCAACTACGACAGCATCTCGCATGCCCTGACCGTGCCTGGGTATTGGTCGAAATCACCAGGCCAGGGATGGACCGAGCAGATCAAGAAGCATGCCGCGGATACACACCAGGTCGAGGTCGGGCTTCTCGGTGTCGAGAGCGCCATTGAGCCCGAGGAACTGAAAATGGGTGGTCTACTTGGCGTTGTTGGACAGGACGAAAAGTTGAGTACGTGGTATACAGAGACCAGACGAAGTTAGGACCAAGCTGACACGTTCCAGAACCCACCCTATTCTCATTTCCCTCGCGCCATCATCCTCTCCCAGCTGATGCCACCTACACCGTCTCCTTCCCCGCTCCAACTGGGCTCCATCCCACCCTGACCATCTCGATGCCCCGCGCGTCGCTGAAGCGGCCCCCCGCACCGCCGGACGCGACATGCGCCCTCCACACATACCTAACCCTACCATCGTGGATCTTCGGCGACAAATACCAGCTCTCAACAACAGACCCCCTCTTCCTCAGTTCCCACAATCTTGCCGCTCTCCGCGCCGTAGCAGGAGAAACGGACCTCGAAGCCCCAGACTGGTTCGTCTCCCGCTGGGGCTCAAACTGGCTGCTCGAGCTCGCTACGCCCCTTCACCCGGATACCAGCCCAGAGGAGTGGAACGCCACGATCCCCCTGCACCTGCGATACCTGCCCCCCTCTGAGTCCGGTTACCGTTCCGCCGCTGTCCCATGGCCGATCGTCTTCTGGGCGTGCACGGCCGAAGACGGCACCAAGATGGGTGTAAACCCCTTTGATCGGGTGAATCTCGGCTGGGAGGGCTTGTTTGGACCCCGGACGATGTTCTATCAATTACACCCGGCGCCGCCGGAGGGTAAGGACCGGCTTGTCGAAGAGCTGGAAGTCCCTGTGCTGGGACTGCGAGAGGATGGTGGATTTTTCCGGAGCAGGACCATCGAGCTGGGGACGGTTGTTGTCGTTGGGCTGGGCCTGTTGTGGGTTCTGTGGAAGCTTGGTCTCGTCGCGTGGACGGCAGGCACAGGGACAAGGACCCAGAGAAAAGACAAGCAGGGCAAGGCCGAGTAGCGTTTAAATCATCTCAGTACCAATGGACGCCCATGTATATATTATCAAAGGACCGAGTCCCAATAATGCCACGCATTGGAATATAGCTAGCAATGTAAGCCAAAAAACAAGGGTATCTCGCTGTCTCGAACAATATCCATCACAACCTCTGTAATCACACTGCAACGCGTCAAATCCCCATCTCCGGCAACGGCCACGGCACATCCGTCATCAGGAACTGATCCAGATCAAAATTCTGCAAACTCGGCATATCGATCATCAGATCGCCCAKCCAGGACATCTCCGGCAGGTCAGCCAACGCCACAGACTGCGGCGGGGGCTGCGCCGGGCGCTGCAGCGAGGTAGACGCTCCCCCGACAGCAGCATCGACGCTAAGCTGCGGCGCCGTAGCGGCCGCGTTGGCGTTGACGCGTAAAACATCGCGGAGCGCGCGTGTGTCTTCTTCCTTTCGGCGCTGATGCAGTAGAATGAGCAGGTAGGCGGTGCTGTAGGCTTCGCGCATGACCTCTGTATCGTAGGCGGCGGCGACCTCGCGGAGGGTGCGCATTGCTTCGCCCAGGAGGGCGAGCGAGGCGCGGCTGTCGATGGCGAGCAGGGTGCAGACGACCTGGAAGGGGACGTTGGCGATCTGGTGCCAGGGGCAGACGGAGGCGACCATCTCGCGGGCGGCGCGGAGGCCGGTGCCGGCCAGGGAGAGGACGCGGTCGAGCAGGTCGCCGGAGATGCTGGAGTTGAGGGCGCGGAGGCGCCGGTACAGGCAGAGCATGAGGTTGCACTGCGCGAGGATTAGGGGTGGCTGGACGTGGATGACGTCGAGGACGGCGGCGAGCGCGGATTCTAGGCCGGGCGCGTCTTGGGTTTGTTTTGGGTCGAGGCTTTCCGAGACGGGGAGGAGGTTGAAGATCTCTGAGGGGCTGTTCGGGGACCGTGGCGCGGGTGGGAGGGAGGTTGCGCCGTGCAGGACGACTCGGGACCGGCCGAGTTCGAAGGAGATCCACACGTTCAGGTGGCGAGCCATGCCGAAGAGTCGACGGCGGATTTCTGGGGCGCAGGGTGTCGTTGTCTGGCCGAGGGAGCTATCTGGCAAGGGCTCGAGATGGAGACCCGACGCCTCGATGAGGTGCATCAGCGTGCAGCTGGCCATCCAGGCGACATGGGGGGATGCTGTCATGCGGAGGTACGCGACTCGGAGCACCCAGCCAGTGACGATGTCCACCGACGCGGGGTTGTCGACGATGAGACTGTGTTCAAGGATGCGTCGAGCGGTTTCGACCACTCGGTATTCCGCTGGAACGGCTCGCCGCCGTGAGAAGAGGAACCCGAGCGCCGCTATGCCGCAGAGTACTGCATCGTAGGGCCCGTATGGCAGGGCTGACTCGGACGAGGAAGGCAGCCATCGTCTGCTGACCTGGCGGAGCACAACATCTCGGTCAAGGAATGGGTAGCACGGATCGACTTTTTCAAAGTAGAACGTCATCAGTGACCGCATCTCGTCCTGGGAGATGATGTCCACGATGGGCGCAGTCGTGGCCGAGGCCGACGTCGGCATGGACGATGGTGACGGGTGACGAGCCCCGACGTTCCACGCGAAAAGATGCAACCTCGGCGCATTGGCTGGATCCAGTTTGAGACCTAATCTGCGCACAAACGCAGCGCCCGAATTGGCCTCGAGGGAACTGACGTCGATGCTCGTCGAGTCCCCCGGAGTCGACTGCTCCTGGCTCTTCGGCCGGGGTGCCTCTTCGATGACACTAGGTCTGCGCATCGATAGACCGACTGATGGCCGAAATACCTTGATATCTTTCTTCTTGCGAGATTGGATGTCGTATTGGCACTCGGAGGCTGACCCCAATTGTACACAGGTGCTACATGGTTGGTCACCAGAACACTTCCGTTTGCGCGACTGGCATGATGTGCAGGCGATTCTGGAGCGCTTTCGCGGTCCTGGCTCAGTCATGATGTTCAGAGCATTTCATCAGCAAATCAGCAATTGTTGATATTCACTTTGGGGGAGAGACTCTCCGTTCGAGATTTGTGGGGACGTTGTACGGGGTACTCTAGATGGGGTGGATTATTGTTGTGGTTGTGTTCGTGAAGTGGTCTGGGAAATACGCTGCGGAGGGGCCAACTGGTTTGTTTTTCTCTCTGTACAACCAAAGCTCATCCACAACTCTCGATTGATTCTCATTTGATTAAAATAGTCGTTATAAATGCATAACTAAATAAAGGTGCAGCGCTATGATTCAGTCGGTATTTCGCTAACAGTGATAAACCAGTGATCTCAATCTTCATACTTTCGTCCGTCTGGATACCCCATGAGATCTTCCAGTTTCTTCAGGTCAGGCATGCCTGCAGGGCCAGGCATATAGTGAATATTGTTTCGGAACGTGGTTCCATTCCACCAAATTTCGTTCTTATGGAGTGCTTCCATAATCCGGGCAGAGTCGATATATGTGCGGATCTCCACCATCTGCCCCTGATCCCATCGAGTTACCCAGACGTTGACAATGTCAAAGTCATCTCCTGTGTGTTGCTCCTGTCAGCACTGCTCCTTAAAATGTTGACGTGGATTTACCTGAATTCATCACCCCCCTGAAGTTGACCTCCTGAACAGACCATCGCTCATTGCAGCCTCCATGGATCGCTTGGGGGTGAATCTCGAACTTGTCCGCATGGTCGAGGAACAGCACACTCACTCGTCGCAGGGCATTGACGTAGAAATGCAGCAGGTCGTTGTAGTGACCCGCAATGGGATGGTGTCCGACCACTGTGAAACTCACGTTCTTGTGGATGAGGGTGAAGAGCTTGTTCATATCCTTCTCCAGATCTTTGAAGGAGTCCCAAATGTGCATCTGCGAGACGTATTTGCAGTCTGTCGACGGATTCTCGAACTTGAACCCCTCTCTATCCCTGTGATCTGGGGGACGGTCGACAAGACCGTCGCCATTACATCGGCCACCGGGGTCGACAATGCCAGAACCATCGCACCCGGGAGCTTCTAGGGGAGATTGGGATTGTGGGACTGGCTGTTGCTGGTGTTCGTAGGATTGAAATGGTAGCACACCCCAGCCAAGGGTGCCTGCTGGAAGGGTTATGGCTATCAGGGCCTGAAGGAGGTAATTGAAGCAAACCATTGATTACTAGGGAGACTGCTCGATAAAACCACATTATGATCCTTTACAGAAGAACCTTGTGTTCGATATATAGCAATGGCTTTCGTCTTGCTTTGGAGGTCCCATCGATGAAATTGCCCGATCTGATGAAAGCTGTACGACAAAGTACTACCCTGTACACCTACGGTCATGCTCGAGGTGGCATAGCATGGAGCTCGCACTCCCTGAAAGTCGCCGATTCGCAATTGCTCATCAGTGGAAAGGTCGGGGTGATGGCTTTGGTATCCCCTACTCAGGAATGACAAGTGATACGGTTTCACAGAAGCATAAGGACCCGTTGTAAAAAGCTATCTAGCAGGTACGATAAATTTATGACTCTTCCCCTCTCTTTCTACAAGTGCATGATTTTTCAAATATCTACTTCGGCACACTGACGTCAAATGATAAAATAAGAGAGCCACCAATCCGCTATTACCATAGCAATTGGACTTAGTAGATATATCTCGTGTATTCCGAAGAAGGTAAGAGGAGTCATGGGGAAATTTGTCTTTTTGAATTAGCCAATGAATCATCTTATTGTCAAAGGCGTGTAGAGTATCCATCTTGGCTGTTGAGAATTGGGACCAGATCTGGTGAGTCATACCTCTCGTACCTGTCAAGATACGCCATTGATGATGACAGCGGTGTGATGGAGGGATGGAGATGCCTTAGTGCACCAAGGCTACGTTCTGATGAGCGGTGTCCCTGACCCTCTATCCACTTACGATACTGCGAGTATGTAGAGGTCACAATCAGGAAGATAATCGCATTATCAATTGCTGCAGAATTGCCCAATCCATAGCGTAATGAGTTACCGACACGCAAGAAAAGGAATGCGGAAGAGTGCCTCCGATCCCGGAACTTGGAATGCAGCTCCTGTGATTGGTCCATCGCCCCCTTTGGGCCCTGGCTGTCGGTGTAGCGGGGCACGTGCCGCCCCACCCGAGCCGAAGATCGCACTGGTGCCGCAGCTCCTGTTGCGACCCTCAAATTCTGCCTCTCGCCCGCTTCTCCTTCTCTTCCTTTTCTCTCCTCTTCTCTCCATCCTCTATCAGTCCTAGACATCATCCATCAACACCCCACAACACAACTACATCATCGTTCTCTGATCAATTCATGTCTTTTTAGACACCCATTCTATCAACAGATATTTCAGTGACTGGTAACAGCACAGTCGCGCTTATGGTTTTGGCACCCACCGTCTTCACTTCTCAGGTATGTCCTGCCCTTGTCTTGCCCATGGCCACACGGATGTCATACCCGCCACCACCATCCGGCCAAACTAAATATAAAACAATTGCTAACATAATGACCTTCAGGACTACATCTCGGATCACCTCTGGAAAGCTTCCGGAAACTATTGAGACCATCCGCATAACTACTCGCTTCCACAATTCCTCGTCTCCATCAACAAATAATGTTTGCTCGTGTCTTCAAGGCTATGCCCGCCAGGGCTTCAGCCTTCACTTCCGTGAATGCTTCCATTCAGGCTCGATTCATGGCCACTGTTCGTCAGCAGCGTCCTGCTCATGAGCGTGCCACTTTCACGATCCGAGATGGTCCGATATTCCACGGCAAGTCCTTTGGAGCTCGCACCAACATCTCAGGTGAAGCCGTCTTCACTACCTCTCTGGTCGGATATCCCGAGTCTCTGACCGATCCTTCCTACCGTGGTCAGATCTTGGTCTTCACCCAGCCCTTGATTGGCAACTACGGCGTGCCTTCTGCTGAGCGCGACCAGCACGGTCTCCTCAAGTATTTCGAGTCCCCCAACCTCCAGGCTGCTGGTGTGGTTGTGGCCGATGTGGCTGAGCAGTACAGCCACTGGACCGCCGTCGAGTCTCTCGG